GCTGGCGGGAAGGGGGTGTTTGCCGAGGCCGGTGACCGAGGGTCGCTTCGTCCTTCTCTTCCTTTGCCTTGCAGCGCCTCTTCCTCCTCCCCGGCCGTGCTCTTTGCCTGTCCCGACGCGGCTACCGCGGGGACGCTCCTTCCGACTCCGGGCGGGACCTGCTGGAGATCCCTCTGCCGCCCTGGCAGGCCCGGCCGCAGGAGCCCCTGGAGACCAAGCGGGCGAGGCTGCTGTACGAGAGCCGCAAGAGGGGCATGCTCGAGAACGGCCTCCTCCTCGGGTGAGGGCAAGAAAATTTATAATCACATTGTATTGCTGTGGGAAGGGAAGCCAGTGGAGAATCTCCAAACTGGAGGGCTTAATTTCGGTATGATGATCCTCAGAAAATAACCTCTCTACGTCAATAAAAGTGTACAGTATTAGCTTCTAGGTAAACAAGCTTGTAAAGTGGTTTTCCTTTGATTTCTCTGTAAACATAGGAATATACGGTATTTAGCGGGGAAGGGATGGAAGATGGGAACTCATCCGTTAAGACACTTGTGTCTCATCTCTTCTCTTTCTAAAATTATGTGGTTATCAAACAATCAATATTTTGCCATCTCCGACCCATTAAAATATATTTATAATATTTAAAATAAGTGGAAGCAGTTAAAACATTTCAAGACAGTTAAAACAGTATAAAGTAATGATAGATTACCTATATGTTGTTTTTAATATTAATGTTATATACAGTCAATTTTAATTTTGCAGTTTCCGACCCTTTAAAATACATACATGTAATATTAAAACTAAATGGAAGCAATTAAAACATTTCAAGACTAGCTAAAACGGTGAAAATTGATAAAATAGATTGCCCGTGCATTGGTATTTTTGTTTTTTTATGATGGTGTTAGGTAGAGCAGTGATTCTTAACCTTGGGTTACTCAGGTGTTTTTGGACTGCAACTCCCAGAAGCCTTCACCACCAGCTGTGCTGGCTGGGGTTTCTGGGAGCTGCAGTTCAAAAACACCTGAGTAACCCAAGGTTAAGAATCACTGAGGTAGAGGTCAAGATTGTTTTTCGTATTATTTGAGCAGAGAGAAGGAATTTGACCACTGATTTGGTGGCTTCTTGTTTGTGTTGCTTAATAAATATTTTGTATGCCAAATCAGAGTCCTACCTGGGAAGACATTCATTATGGGCTTGAGGAATTTGATATGCTCATTTCTGTAAAAATTACACTCGAAAAGGACGTGCTTCAAGGTTTCAATTTCTCTATCCTTACAAGGGCACAATCTTTTTTCATAAGGGGTGCCAGAATATCACCCATCTAAAATTGCGGATTGGAGACAGTTAAATCGGGCTCTTAAGAAGACATGCCTGTATTTTGGGATAATCAGATTCTTTAAATACCTAGCACTTTGGGAAAAAGTATAGTTTAGGCCAAGGTGCAAGGTTAAAGTTTTCTCCAGGTAAGAGTTGTATCCAGACTTCTGAAGAACCCTGAGATTCCCCGATTAATTCATTATAATCAGAGTGTGCATATATGTGTGTGTATGAATGAACAGGAATAGTATTTTCATTTGCAAGTCTTAGTTTGTGGCTCCACCTAGTGGAGCGTTTGCTGCTCCACTTGGCTCTACTCACTGATACTGTTTCCCTGAAAATAAGCCCTAGTATGATTTTTCAGGATGCTTGTAATATAAGCCCTACACCAAAAATAAGCCCTATTTAAGTGAAACCCCGCCCTCCACCATTGTGCAGCAACCAGAAGAAGAAGACATGACTGTATTTGAATAAATGTAGATGGTTGTATATGAAAAAAATAAAACATTCCCTGAAAATGAGCCCTAATGCATTTTTTTGGAATATAAATTAATATAAGACCCTGTCTTATTTTTGGGGAAACACGGTAGTACTTTTTCCACTCCTCAGTAGAGCTAGCTGTCTTTTCTTCTGTCTTTGAGGATTCTAGTGCCGATTGTCTTTACGGGGTAACTGTTCTTGCTATTCACTTTTTCTACACTATTAATAATTTTATAAGTCCAAGCCATATATAAATGGTTTGCTCCTAGGCTGTTGAAATGTTACTAGCACCTTTTTCTATTTTGCTATTCCCTATTAATTATGTGTTGCTATTCTTATTAGTTTCTTTGCCAAAGAAAATCTTAATCAAATGAATGAAAAACAGCTGGACCTTTATGATCGCCTGATAAATGAGCCAAGTAATGATTGGGATATCTACTACTGGGCAACAGGTAAGGCAAAATAATATATTTTGAGTTATTTCAGGTCTTGGTGTTATTTTTCTTGTCTCATGAATATTGCTTTACACATGCAGTGGGAGAGTATAATTTTTAGATTTTTATTTCTTCTGTAATATCTATAGAGGCACCTCTTATAATAAGCTGAAAATCCATATGGTTGTCCATATGCCCCAAAGGCTAGCACTGGCAATCTCAAATATTATTTGAGCAGATTTTTGTTTTTTAAAAGAAACCTTGGTATATCTTTTCAAGAACCTGATACTAGTGGTTGCTTTTCATTCAGTAATGTTACAGTTGACTTTGTTCTGTTTAAAGCTGACTTACTAAAACATTGGGGCTTAAAGTTAGCCATGAACAATTTTTCCCATTGATTTTATTAGATATATTTAAGTATGATGGAAATTTTATCTAATGTTACATATATTTAGAAGAAGTAAAACTCTTTGAATTCGGTGGGACTTGTCTCCTCAATAATAGAAACAGAATTGGTCTGCATAAGTACTGTATCTCTTCTTAGTAATAATTTAGAGTATCGTAATTACTAAAGACCATCCTCTGGACATAAAAATATTTTTCATTTGTTGATGCTTTCTTTTCTTATGGTGTCACATCTGAAGTAACACTTGACAAATAAGCCCTATTCAGATCTTAAGCCTAAAATACATAGAGCTGAAAGGGTGGTGGAATGGAAGGGTAAATGTAAGCTATGTTCCCACGACACTTGGAAGTCATGGAAACCATTGCATCTCCACAGTGAAAATCTACATAGGCACTGTAACTGTTTTGAACTGACTGCACTTTGGCAGCCCTTACCAGGGCTACTGAACATGGAAATTCGGTAAGCATATATGCAAGCCTCTGTGCTGATCACACATAGCTTCCGGGTGAGATGAGGGTTGTGATTTAGCAATACAGTGGTGCCCCGCATAGCGAGGTTAATCAATTCTGGATTAACCCTCGCTATGAGGAAACATCGCTAAATGGGATGCAAAATACCATTGGAACACATTAAACTTAGTTTAATGTGTTCCAGTGGCTTCTATACTCACCGTTAAGCAAAGTTTCCTCATAGCGCTGCCATTTTCGTGCCCTCGGTAAGCGAGGGCAGGGCGTGAAAATGGTTGCGGCGGCCATTTTGGAGCCGCCGAACAGCTGATTTCCTGGCGTCGCAATGCGAAGATCGGTAAGCGAAATGCTTACCAATCTTCACAATGCAAGTTTTGGCCATAGAGGCCATTGGTAAGCGATCGCATTAGCGATCTCAAAAAAGAGATTGCTGTGCGATTTTGTCGTTATACGGTGCGCTCCTTAAGCGAGGCACCACTGTACTACCGGGACCCTTTAGTCCTACAGGCTTTCATGCTCGAATATGGCTATAATTTAGTGTTCGCTATATGAAAAAGAATGTTAAGAAAGTATTAACAGATGAGGATAGAGAAACAATAGAGAGAGCAATTACAGAGGAAGAGATAGAAGTTATTATAAATAAGTTAAAGGTAGAGCAGACACCTGACACAGACAGATTAGGCCCAGAGTTTTATAAAACCTTCACGAAAATTGTCCCAGAATTAAAAGATTTATGCAACGCTATATTAAATGGGCTTATTTTTCAAGTGTTACTTCACATGTGACACCGTAAGAAAGAAATGAGGATAGAGAAACAATGGAGAAAACAATTACTGCTCATGAATATTTATGTTGAAATTTGCTTGCACCAATAACAACCTTCTTTCTCCACTCTCAACCGCCTACTCTACTCTCCCTACCTTTCTTTTCCCCCACTTAACCCTGCCCCCACCAACTCCTATTGGTGCAAGCAAATTTCAATATAAATATTTATGAGCAGTAATTGTTTTCTCCATTGTTTCTCTTGAAGTCCAGTCAGTGTCGTTAACTCTCAACTAAACGACATTGACTGGACTTTAATCACTTGTAACAATAAACAATTTCTACTTGGTTCTTAAATGATACATTGCCTGGACCTCTGTCATTAATAGTGAACACAGTTGATTTAATCAACTTGTAGCAGCTGAACGACATGTAGCATGCGCCTTTGCTTGGTGAAATGACCAAAGTCCACATGGGAACATAACAGTGTATATTCCACAAAAAGAAGGAGGGCTTGGACTACCTACTATTAAATTATATTACATTACAAATCAGCTTAAACATGTACCAGATATTATAGTACACAATAGAAATCTAATATGGAGGGAAATGGAAATGTCAGAATACCCCGAGACAATGGAGGGCATCTTTTTAAAAGAAAAAATTGCAGAAAAAATTAAGAGAATAACTAATTCCTTTCTGATTATTATGGTAGAGTGCGGGATAATTATAAATATCTTTTGAGTCCACCTGTTTTATCTTTGCAACAAGTAGTGGACGTCCAGAGTTTCCCAAAAACTCTTAAATTTAAACTTTAAGTATTAATAGAGAAAGGGTTAAATACAATGAAGAGTTGGATGAAAAAGTATCTTTATCTTTAAATACTATAAAGGAAATTTTGGGGGAATATCCTGCTTAAATATACTCCAAATGGAAAGTTGAACGAGAGAGTGGACTAGAAAAGAAGGAAACAAAAGAAGGAACAGTTAGCGTAATTTATAAAATTTTAGTACATTCCAGATTCGAACAAGCGATGTTGAAAAACCAGTAGCAGTAGGACTTTGAGGAAGAGATTAAAAGAGAGGATTCGATCAAGATATAGTCACAAAGAATAATGAAGAATATGTATAAGGGTTAAAGAAAATTGTTATAAGGTAGTATGGAGATGGTACTTTACTCCAGTATGACTGAATATAATAAAAATATACCATCTCAATGTTGGAAATGCAAAAAAAAGGGACTTACCATATTTTTCTGTGTATAAGACACCCCAATGTACACAATTTTCACCCTTGGCGGAGGCAAAGGAGCAGCCCCTCATGGCTGCCCATTGACTGCTGCCGCCGCTGGAGGAAATGATCAGGTGGTGGTAGCAGCAGTCAGTGGGCAGCCACAAGGTGCGGCCCAGCACGGCTGCTCCTCCACCTTCTTCTGCTGCCCAATCACCTCCTCCAGCAACACTGCTGGGGCTCATCTCCAGCTCACATTGCTGCCTTGTCCCCGTCTGAAGGGAGCCCACAAGTGCTCCTGGAGGAGGTGATTGGTTGGCGGCAGCAGTCAGTGGGCAGCTGTGAGAGGCAGCCCAGCACGGCTGCTCCTTCGCCTCCATCTCCACCTCCTTCTGTGTATAAGACAACCCTCAATTTTTCCTCTAATGATTTTAGGAAAAAGTGTTGTTTTAAACATGGAAAAATATGGTACAGTGGTGCCTCGCTAGAAGATGATAATCTGTTCCACTGAAATCGCTGTTTAGTGAAATCATTGTCTAGTGAAAAGCATTTCCCCATTGGAATGCATTGAAACCTGTTTAATGCGTTCCAATGGGGAAGAATCGTCGTTGTCTAGTGAAGATTGGCCATAGGAAAGCCGCTTTGCGCATCGCCCACCAGCTGTTTAAATCGCTAGCTTGCGAAGCTTAGGTCCCAAAAACACCTGTTTTGCAAGCACGGAGGGAGCTGTCAAAATCGTCGTCTAGCGAAAATCGGTTTGCGAAGCAGGGACCAAACATTTTTCAGCGAAATTCCCCCATAGGAACCACTGTTTTGCGAATTGCTATAGCGATCGCAAAAAGTCAGTGTCTAGCAAAAAAAACCTGTCATGCGGGGTAACTGTTTAGCGAGGCACCACTGTATATGCATATGTGGTGGGCATGTGAAATAAAGAAAGAATGGGCACTGGTTTTTAAGGAAATTAGAAAAATTATTGTAAATATAACAGTATTCAGATATCACCAATTATTGCCTTCCTAAATATAATTAAGAATGACCATTGTGTGTAGTCATTATTGAATTTGTATTTTAGGTTTGATTTTTTTTAAATATTAAAAAAATGTTCACTGGCAAAATGGTCTTGGAAGAGTGTATTAGATCTGCAGAGAATCTTCAGGAAGTGGTGCTATACTATTTTCTCTTCCTTTCTTTCTCTCCAAAGAAGCAAAGCCTGCCCCAGAAATCTTTGAGAATGAAGTGATGGAGATGCTTAGAGGGTTTACTAAAAACAAGAAGAGAGAGAAGAGACTGCGACAACCAGATCTGGAGTAGCTTGAAACTTCATGCTGATCCTGTTCGGCTGTCTCCAGAAGTCCAATTTTGGATATGCTTTGATGACTCTATTATCCTCAGTGGTGTTTTACTTTCGTTTGCATTGTTTCATACTTACTCCAACTTTATGAATTCTTTTAGGAGTCATCATTATTCTCCATGTTTCGTTTTTCTGTAATAAAATGTCAGTGCTTCTTCCTGAAGATGAGAATCCCTAAGAAAAGAAATAGTAAGAATTGTATACAATTAAAGGGTTGTGAGGGTTCAGGTCCTGCCTTTGGTACTTCTTCCCCAGACTTGCCCTTTACCCCAGTAAATGTTGGGAAGTTTTTGTAGTTCAGACTTTCAACATTTATTTTGAGAACATCTAAGAAACTGTTAATATCAACTTGAATGTTCCAGCTTCTCACAAAAAGGGGTGAGGAACGGATTGGTTACCCAATAAAGAGTCCACAAAGAAATATCCAACTGTTCATGACTCATTTCTGAGTAAATGCCATTAATGCCGTTCCAGGCGGTATTGGCAGCAGGGGCACTCTGGCTTCCTTGTACCCGGGTTTCCCATCTCTCAGCTCCTGGATCACCCATGGTTCAGGTTCCTGCCAGTCAATCCCAGCCTGTCTCTGCTGTTGAGATCTCTTCCTTCTCTCTCTTTCTATTCTTGCCTTCTCTTTCCTGAGGTGGTTTCCCAACTCTTTTTCATCTCAATAAGAAGGCTTTTGGGGAACCGTCTCTTTTTATTATTATTATTTGTTTTCAATGAGAATAGGAATTGTGATAGGGTACAGGGGGTGGGGGGGAATAGGTAAGGATCGGGAAGGGGTAAAATTCCAGAGAGTGAAATAGTATTCTTCCATCCACTTTACACAATTATGCTAAAAAGTAAGATCACAAAAAGAAACCATTTAGCAATTTTCCCCAGAGTATCTATAGTTACTAATCTCTTCATTCCCTTGGACCTTCTCCTTCTTTTAACTATACCTTCCATATTTCCAATCCAATTATAAAATCATTCCCAGTTTTTGAGTCCTTTTTGAAATGACCTTTCATTTAATGCTTCTGTTAGTATATCCATCTCTGCCACTTCCAGTATCTTTTGTATCCACAAGAGATGATACTTCTTTCTTCCAATGTTTCCCATATAGTATCCTCGCTACAGTAATTACATGTATTATCAAATATCTCATTTCTTTATCTACAATTTCAGGCATAGTATTCAATACAAACTGTTTTGGTTTTAATAGTATCACATAAGACAGAATTTTTTGTAACCATCTTTCAACTCCTCTCTGCCTCTTCTTTAGGTGCCATGATTTTTTCCCATTTGTGGGTCCACGGGTTTTTAAGCCAAATTCACTCCCACCCGTGGGTAGGATTTTTCCTTTTCTCTCCATCTCAGCTTCTCCAACCTCTACTATCTGCTTCCCTGAGCGCCCTTCCTTATATATCTCCCTTGTTCCTGCCCTTTTCGCCCACTCAGTCACTTTCTCTGCTATTCTACCTGCTTTCTTGAATAGTTCTGTCTCCTCCTTCACTTCTTTTTCTGCCTCTTCCTCTGTCGCACTCTCCACAGCCAAGGCTGTCATTTCACTTTCCTGCCAGGCCATAGTTCAGCAAGTTTCTCTCCCTTCCCTGCTGAGATGGATAGCACCCAGGCAGGGGCAGCCTCGGACTTCCTGGCCATCTCACAGAGACTGGTACAGAAAAAGTGTTTGGTATATAGATAACTAGGGACCACCATGGTGGGAAGGTAACAGCATTCCGTGTCCGGTTGCACTGGCCACGCGACCACAGAAACTGTCTATGGACAAACGCTGGCTCTATGACTTGGAGACGAGAATGAACACCGCGCCCTAGAGTCGGACATAACTGGACTAAATGTCAAGGGGAACCTTTAGCTTTACAGTATGTTCATTTCACTGGCAGATATTTGTGTTTGGTTGTATCGTGCCCAATTCCAGGATTCCTAGGCAGATCTCAGTATTGTATGATATTAGGAAGATTCCTTTTCAAAGGTGCCCAAACATGAAAATTGTAATAATAACTCGTGATCTAATGGCCAAAACCTATTATGCAACTACACACGTGCAACTCAAGATTGCACCTATGGTACGTAGTTGCTCTAGTGCTAAGGCAGATGTGCTGTTCCCCAAACACTTGTGCCAGCACATTTCACAATTGCAAAGTACAATTCTTTGTCATTGGGTGTAACACCTGGCATACTTACACAAGCATGAACAGGATATTGGCCTGTATCTTCGACACAGAAATATTCTCACAAGTGTCAGCATGTTCTTGTCTGGTGGAGTCACCACCTTTGGACTGCAAAGCACTTCTTATTCTAGAACTGAATTTCTTTTGGTTATGTCTAAAAGCATCTGATATACATTAGAATGGGCTGGATAGATTTAAGTCCTCCTAACCTTCAATGAAAAGGGACGTGGTGGCGCTGCAGGCTAAACCACAGCAGCCTGTGCTGCAGGGTCAGAAGACCAGCAGTCATAAGATCGAATCCACACGACGGAGTGAGTGCCCGTCGCTTCTCCCAGCTCCCGCCAACCTAGCGGTTCGAAAGCATGCAAATGCAAGTAGATAAATAGGGACCACCTTGGTGGGAAGGTAACAGCGTTCCGTGTCTAAGTCGCACTGGCCATGTGACCACGGAAGATTGTCTTCGGACAAAACGCTAGCTCTATGGCTTGAAAACGGGGATGAGCACCGCCCCCTAGAGTCGAACACGACTGGACAAGAATTGTCAAGGGGAACCTTTACCTTTTTTAACCTTCAGTGATTGGTTAGAGAACCCTTTAATACTAAGAATTATTATATTCACGAAGGCTTTCACGGCCGGGATCTAATGGTTGTTGTGGGTTTTTCGGGCTCTGGACGTGTTCTGAAGGTTGTTCTTCCTAACGTTTCCCCAGTCTCTGTGGCCGGCATCTTCAGAGGACAGCACTCTGTCCTCTGAAGATGCCCGACCACAGAGACTGGCGAAACGTTAGGAAGAACAACCTTCAGAACACGGCCAAAGAGCCTGAAAAACCCACAACAACCCTAAGAATTATTGTTACTTATACTATAAAGGCAAGTGCTTTTAAAATACCTCATGAAAGCTTCTGGGGGTAATAGTAGTTTCAAGCTATTGTCAAATGTTGACTGTATGAAAATGTGAAATATAGTTTGATTCCCCTAGTAGTGTTTTTCCCCACCCGCTTTTAAAGTATGATGCGAGATGTTAAAGTCATATTTAAATTGCACATTTCTATGTAGCCATTTAATCTTTCAGTGACGCTACCTGGAAATGACCACATGGTGTCATAACTGTTATGAATGCTGTTTGTTATTGAAGAAGGATTTACACAAGCTTTGTTAAAAGCTGATTGCAGTAGGCTTATTTCAGTTATAGTACAGGCTCTTGAGTATTCTGTACCAGAGTTTAAATTTCACAAATGCTATTCTAAGTAAAGCCAAATTCTGTAACCTTGGCAACAGTCATGCATCTTAAATAAGTATATTTTCATCTTTGGCAAATAAAGTAGAGGAACCTCACCCCACTGGCCAAAATCCCATTAAGTTGATGCCCACATAAGGGTGATGATATCACTGGAAAGAGGAGATTGCTGGTAATTTAAGAGTCTCTGTTACAATTCTGGGGCTCACCCAAAATGAGACTGGTTGTGGGTGACCTCAGCAAGCCCCGAGATCAAAGCAGTAACTTTTTAATTACCAGCAATCTGCGACTGCTGGTAATATGCTGGTGTATTTTACTCAACAGGATTTTGATCACTGAAATCTCATGCCTCTGAATTACAGTATAATGAACCTCAGCCTCTATTCAACCTCACTTTAGTTTCTGAAATTTCAAAATGATTTCTGTAAACATATTCCAAAACGTGGGTGTAGCGGTCACCCTTATTATGTTAAATAAGTCACACATTCATGTCATATGCTAATGTGGTTGAGAGGTGGGGCCACCAGAGATGTTAAAAACGCAGAGTTCAGTCAGAGTTAGGGAGAGAGTTAGGGAGAGAGACAGAGAGAGAGAGGGAGATGGGAGATCTGAGGAGTGAATAGTAATCTGTGAGATTTAAATAGAATATTGATGCTTGATGAACCTGAAGTAAACACTTAAGAATTATTAAAGAAACATCTGTAATTAATAAGTCTGTTTTAAGAAAAAGTGAAAACTGAATGGACCTTCATCTTTCATAAGTAAAGTACGTTGATTTAGTGATCAACTGGTGGCAGCGTGTGAAAAAGTGTTTGGTTTGCCTTCGTGTGATCTGTGTTTGGAAGACAAACAGGGGCCACAAGGGGCAAATGTCACAGTGAGAGACTGTGGTGATTTTTTACATTCCTGTTCATCCACGCCAGATCCTGAAATTCACACTTAAAATACATTGTGCAGATATAGCTGCAGTTGTGTGGAAGGCACTGAACTTTGCACGTGTTCCTTTATGCCAGTTCAGTGCATGTCTCAAAGCATGTGTGTTTTGCAAGCAGGCAAAGCAAACAGATCTCTAAATTGTTGTTGACCGTTCAGCTCTGCACACTGCTATCCTAACAAACAAAATCAACCGAGAACCCTTTTAGTTTGAATGCCAGAAATGCATCATTGGTAGGGAAGTGGACAATCCTTTCCTGCAGACCTTGGGAATCCAAACAAGAAGCATCTGGTTAAAGCATCTGTAATCCATCTGGCCTCTGTACTCGAACACAGAAATGTGAATGTGTTGTTGTGTTGCCTCAGCTGGTTGCCGTGTGCTGGTTGCTAGGATACAGGCTGTTATATTGCAGCTCTTTGCATTCCTCCATTGAGTTCGGAACTTCTTTTAAGTGAGTGGTTCCTCATCTCCAGGCATCTGCACGATTCTGCTCGTTAAGGTAAGCTCAGCTGGGATAGGTAAGAGCACGCCATCATCCTGAGATAAAACAGGGTTAGGGTTGGTGCCTGCTGTCTCTGGTGAATGTAGGTTTTGGTGCAGGAGGAGCTTGTTGCCTCACAGACATGTTGGCAGAATTCCCTGGCCCTGCCCTTGTACAAGCCAAGGGCTGCTTCTTCAAGCAGGTGGCAGCTGTTCAACAGGTTTACCAGTTTTGCTCCTCAAAGCCTTTTTGGAAGGAAGTGTCAGGAATGGAACGCAAAACTTTACCCGTGCAAAGCTGCTGCTGGCCTGGATGCCTCCATTCCTGACTAAAGTTAATCTCTCCATGCTCTAGCTGTTGGAAGTGTTAATGCTGAGAAAATGGCAGGCACAGCTGGGTATATTGGTTAGTAACAGTTTATAAAGAATCTGTATGGGTATAGACATATGATGTAATATCCAATTTAGGTCTTACCCACCCTAATAACTCCTATGCATGTGCAGCTATAAACATTGAAACTGCTGGGTTCCTAAACGTTATCCACCTAAGTCTGTTACCCACATCTAAATGTTTTTACACTAGAAAACCCAACCTTTCATCAAAAATATTTGATATATTCTTGTACAAGATAGGGATTGATCCATGTACCTGCAGGCAAAAAAATAAAAAAATAAAAAATACAATGGTAAGATCTCATTCGTATCATTTTAAAAACACACTACAAAAATGGCATCTCATGAAAGTGAAAGAGTTACCTACTATCTGGCTTCACTTCTGCCACAGTATAACTGTAATCAATGGGGTCAGCTAATGGCTTAACCCTGCTTATCCATATATTGTACAGTGGTGCCTCGCTTTACGATTGCCCTGCATTACAATTAATCTGCTTTACGACGATCTTTTTGCGATCGCAAAACGATGGTCTAAATGGGGGAATTTTGCTTTGCGATGATCGGGAACCGATTCTTTGCAAAACGACGATTTTCCAACAGCTGATTGGCGGTTTCAAAATGGCCACCAGGTAAATAAAATGGCTTCCCGCTGTGTTTAGGGATGGATTCCTTGCTATATAGGCAGTGAAAATGGCCACCGTATGGAGGATCTTCGCTGGACGGTGAGTTTTAAGCCCATTGGAACGCATTGAAAGGTTTTCAGTGCATTTCAATGAGCTTTTCATTTTCGCTTTACGATGTTTTCGCTTAACTGTGATTTTCCTGGAACGGATTATCGCTGTTAAGCGAGGCACCACTGTAATGGCCAAAGTAGACATTGTGGGAAATAAATATGTAATTACCAAATTTTCCTACCTGCAATGAGATTTCCTCAAGGATGCATGCCTCAGCAATCAAATCCATGCTAACCTTCCTGTAAACAGATATCTTCCATCTGTTGAAGGAGCACAAGAGTGACCCACATGCCACATGGTCCCCTAGGCCAGGGATCCAAATGGATTCCTCATCATATCCATACCTTAAAAATATTTATTCAAACTTTATTTTGCATTAAAAAGAAAATCCATGTGCAGGGAAAATCTGGCATGTTTTTAAAAAAGGGCCCCAAAAACCTTGGTGGGCTGCATGCAACACCTGACTATTATTTTTTTTAATGACCACCAGAGAGAGCAAAAGGACTTTTTGAAAAAAAAAGTTTAAACAAAACTATTTATTTATTTAGAAACATTTTACCCTGCCTTTCTCCTTAAAAAGCAACCTTACATTATTGAAAAACAGTATTTACAGCTGAAAACAATGAGTATACAACAGTGGTTTAAGTCATTAAAAGACAATATTTAAAGCTAAGAATAATGAGTACTGTGTAAAGAGGCAGCTTACATTATTAAAAACCAATATCAAAGCTAAAACATTAAGTATGCAAATGCTAAAGAGGACAAACAAATACCACTCTGAGAGATGGTAAATACAAGTAGTATTAAAGACCCTGTCAGAGCAGTAATGCATAACAATCCATCTAAGGGTTACTCATGTAGCCAGCCATGTGGCCATTCACTCATGTAGCCAGTCACTGAGGGAAAGCTTGCCTGAAGAGAAAGGTATTTGCTTGCTTTCGGAAGGACAACAAAGGTGGGACCAGTCTGGCTTCTTGTGGGAGGGAGTTCCAAAGTCTGGTAGCAGCAACAGAGAAGGTTTGCTCCTTTGTCCCCATCAAATACACTTGTGAAGGTGGTGGGATTGAGAGAAAGGCCTCACCTGATGATCCTAACACATAGGCTGGCTCATAGTCGGAGACATGTTCTTTGAGATAGCATGGACCCAGACTGTTTAGGGCTTTAAAGGTTAGAACCAGCACTTTGAACTATACTTAGGAACTGATTGCCAGCCAGTGGAGTGGCTGTAACGGGAGTTATGTGATCCCTGTCACCAGCCTCAGTTAGCAACCTGGCTACCGCATTTTGGACTTACGTATGAAAATCTTTTGGGATTTTGGATCCCTATAGGAGGAAGAGCCCTTCAAGGTTCAGAACTGAGTGTCTGTGTGGCCCCCAAAGGTTTGGAGGATACTCACTCTGTTCTAAGATACTAAGTATATTGTTCAGTTTGATTCTAAGTCTGTAAATGAATATAAGTATTTAATTACCTGCCCCCCCTCCTTTTAATTCTGAGCTTTCTATGACATCACTGTGATGTGTATGTGACCTCAGTCTGTTTCTAGGGCGAGATGTACACTCTGTATTAATAGTTGCACCAAGCCAGACTGGCTTCTTTACTCTGATGTTCAGCAGTATCTGTCCTGCCCAGAATGATTAGTGGCCGGTCATCTATAATCTCTGTTTCTCCAGGCAAATCTTACATTAGAACAACTGCCTCTGTATCTTCAGAGAAGATGGGCCGTCTCCCACTAGGAGTTGTTTCTCCCTATGTAAAAACAAGTTCAGGTGGAAGTATGGATCCTATGAAATTTTATTGCACCAGTTATGGCACAGCTTATGGTAAGGACTTTCAGCAGTATGGGAAGGGGTTCACAGCAAATAATAAAGAATAAGACTTGTTACTATTGTGGTCACAATGAGACTAGAAATAATTGTCAGTTGTTCAAAAAAAGAGAGTCAATTTTTGTCTTGTCATGGCCAATGCACCACTTCAGATTTATTTGAAAGTCTGTTTGAGAGGAGCCTCATGGTGTAGTGGGTAAAACTGCAGTACTGCAGTGAAGGTTCTGCTCACAATCTGAGTTCAATTATGGGCTCAGGTAGCCAGCTTGAGGTTGGCTTAATCTTCCATCCTTCTGAAGTCGGTAAATTGAGTATCCAGTTTGTGTTTGGCAATGTGTAGCCTACATAATTAAATGTTAAGCCACCGAGAGAGTGAATTGAGTAGTATATAAGCAGCACACGTTGCTTTGCTTTTAATTTTGTTTCCATACACATGTTGGTATGGGAGGATTGAAGCTCTGGCTCACAAAGGAAGCACAGGAAATTGTATTGTAGTAAGGCAAACCATGGGTCCATTTTTCTCAGTACAGTACTGTCAACTCTGGCGGTAATGAGTCCCCAGAATTTAAAGCTGAATACTTTTCCAATCTCTTGTTATTTACTGATGGTCTCTCAGTGCTTACTAGGTCGCATCTGGCTTCTGAAAAGAGATGATTGGGGAGGTGTTTAGGGGACCAACCCAATTTGAGATCCGTGGGGCTTTTTTTGTTGTTGTTTTGTTTTTGGTGAGTCTATGGTTGGAGCCCCCAATGTTTGCCGTCTCTGCCCCTCAAAGCTTCCTTTAAATGCCCAGCCTGAAATACCTTGCTTCTTCCCAACACAAAGGTGCAGAAGATCTGTTCCTTGACTTCAGGTACATTCTATTCAAGGATGGTTTTAAAACAGAGACACTCGTTACACTCCTCTTTGGGCTCCCACCATAGCTGAAATGAGAAAAGTGACAAGACAATAAAGTGTTGCTTCTCAAAGCTAAAAGGGGACATGTGAGTCAATCCCATGCACATTTCACACTGGCTGCACCTTACTGTATCAACACTGTACCAATCCATGACAGAAGTGTAGGCAAGTGTGTGTTGGAGACTAAATGTAGTGTAGAGATAATCTCAGACCCAAGCAGCAAATGCTACAGTGACCTTTCTGGAGAAACTTCACAACCAGTCATTTCAGCCAGTTATGCGTCAACTTCATGAAGCACTAAATCCTTGTGGAAATTCTCATTTTCTCCCAGAACCACCTCCTATAGCAGCTATTCTGCCTTACTCTATCAGTGTCAGTGAAGCATTCTTTATTGACACTTAGTCATCTTCATATCCAGGCCTGTGCCCATTGGCTACTTTAGAGGCAGAGGTGGGACAAAGAGGTTCCCTCCACCAGCATCACGGAGACAAACTTCCGTTTGGTCCTTTCCTCTCAGAAGTGCCTGGATCAGCAGCAATATACCCTGGGTCCCAGTCCACCACTCTAACCACTACATTACATGGATGGTTATGATTATACTGTAACTGCCTTAGCTGCCTTGGTAGAAAATTGCTAAAACGCTGTACTGCAGCTAAAACTGTGCTCATGACCTGGGGTTCAAAGCCCAGGTAGCCGGCTCAAGGTTGACTCAGCCTTCCATCCTTCCGAGGTCGGTAAAATGAGTACCCAGATTGCTGGGGGCGCAATGTGTAGCCTGTATAATTAAAATTGTAAACTGCCCGGAGAGTGCTTGTAGCGCTATGGGGCGGTATATAAGTCCAATAAGTAAGTAAGTAAGTAAGTAAGTAAGTAAGTAAGTAAGTAAGTAAGTAAGTAAGTAAGTAAGTAAGTAAGTAAGTAAGTAAGTAAGTAAGTAAGTAAGTAAGTAAGTAAGTAAGTAAGTAAGTAAGTAAGTAAGTAAGTAAGTAAGTAAGTAAGTAAGTAAGTAAGTAAGTAAGTAAGTAAGTAAGTAAGTAAGTAAGTAAGTAAGTAAGTAAGTAAGTAAGTAAGTAAGTAAGTAAGTAAGTAAGTAAGTAAGTAAGTAAGTAAGTAAGTAAGTAAGTAAGTAAGTAAGTAAGTAAGTAAGTAAGTAAGTAAGTAAGTAAGTAAGTAAGTAAGATAAAGAAATAAACAATACAAATCTGCAGTGGTCTCCCTTTTGTTTTCCAGGTCGGGAAGGGTTTCGTCCACGAACTGTTTTCCACTCTGGAGCTGGTTACAAATCAAATTACCGCCCAGTGGTTCAATACAAACCAAGCCTCGATAAATTAGACAATCCAGCTGTGGGGTAGGTATCTCTCATTTGAAGACATTTGTTGGTATGGTTCAAAGGGGAGTAATGGCCTCGCGTGCTGGGTGTTTGTACCTTAGAAAACCTCCAGGCCAGTAGCAAGCTACCATTTACTGTAGCCTAATTCATACTTCTGCAAAGTACATCTGCAGGATTTCTGACCAAAAAATTGAAGATTTACTAGATGTGGACTTCAGCATATCAGCAAAGTTCCCCATAACATCCAGATTAACAAGTTAACTAGGTCTGGGTTGGATAGAACAACCATTGGGAGCTGCACAATTGGTTTCAAAATCATACTCAGAGAGTAATGAGTGATTGGGGTAGATCTAGATGGGAGGATGCGTTCCGCTAGAAATTTAGGTCTTAAATCATTTAGGGCTTTATATGTCATCATTAACACCTTGAAATCAATGTGGAAACAAACGGGCAGCCAATGCAAGGCAGCCAGAGTGGGGGAAATATGCTGATATTTTCTCACCCCAGTGAGAAATCTGGCCGTGCATTCTGCACCATTTGAAGCTTCTGCATCAATCTCAATCTCTGTAATGCGTCCCACGTAGGGCGCATTACAGTAGTCTAATCTCGAGATTACAAGCGCATGAATCAGAGTGGTGAATGCCCCAACATCAAGATAGGGACGCAGCTGGGCAATCTGCCAGAGATGGAAATACTGTAAGTGGAATGGACCACTGATGTGACCTGGGTTTCCATGGTGAGCGCTGGATCCAGATGATCCCCCAAGCTGTGAACCTCACTCTTCATGGTGAGTTTCACTCCCCCAAAAGAGAGGGAATTTCCCAAACCACCGATGGTGGGGCCACCCACCCTAAGGACCTCCCATTTTGTCTGGATTCAGCCTTAGTCCATTCTCCTGCATCCATTGCAGTACAGCCTCCAGGCAGCACTGAAGGGACGGAATGGCATCCACTGTTGTTGGAAAAAATGAGATGTAGAGCTGGGTGTCATCAGCATACTGATGACATGAAGCCCCACACCCCCTGATGACCCTACTCAGCGGCCTCATATAGATATTAAACAGCATTGGGGAAATAACTGAGCCCTGCTGAACAATATGAAGAAAAATTAAGCTTCTCTATGAGATAAAACCTTTAATAACAAGATTCATGAGATCGCAGTCTAAAATTCATGTGGCTACAATCCTGTTTGTTAATGTCATCAGCTGCAGTTTGAGTAGACCCATTGAATCAATGGGGATTTTGGTCAGTCAACTTGTCTATAAGTTCCACTGATTCAAACGGGCCTAGTCTAGTTACAACAGGATTTTAGCAAATGTCTAAAAGAAATGTTGGATTTTTAAGAAGTGTTGGGTGTTTACAAAATGAAAGTAATTCAAAAATCTAAGGCATAAGAATTTAGAGAGGAATTTCAATGCCCTTTACTGAGTTCTTCATAGTGTAACATCAGCATTCTTTTGTTTTATAACAAAGAAAGATGCTGTTACCAGCAAAACCTTTAATAACAGGATTCTTGTGTTCTGGTAAAATAGATCAATTTGTACAAAAGTTGTCCCTAGAAGATGTTTCCCTAGACAGCAATAATCCAGACATTATCTGCTAGAAGTCTGGCAATTACATTACATCCTTCTTTCCCTTTTTTGTAGTCAGTGTTGTCTTGTGAGTGGGACTCTTCAGGATACAGTAGAAAAGCAATATCATTGAAATTGACCAGTAGTGAATGTTTTTTAGCAGCTAAAATGGCATACCTCTTGTCAAACAGAGGAAAATATTATTTCTAATCTGAATGGGAAAGATGAAAAGATATCAAAATAAGAAAAGGTGGAGATTTTGAAATGGTGAATTTACGATATATTGCAATAATTAGTGCTCAGTTGTTAGGAGGTACACAAAACACCTTGAGCCTATGTTGACAATAACTAGTGTGTTCAGTGGAATTGAGCAACAAAGGACATCGCTATAGATGTCTCACACATATATACATGTACAGGAACAAAACTAACGCACATTAAAAGTTCTGTCTAGAAGCTACCACAATTCTAAGAAGTCTAAATAGAACACATTTTAAATCTCACCACCACATTGAATTTTTTCAAATAACTTGTCGTTGTTTTTGAATCTTGGCTGATGTTAACTTGGTGCATCTGAAGATGTTAAACTGTCTCAATCCATGTTTTTTTTTTTGTGTTCCATGCCAGTTGCCCTCTGGCTTCCGAGACAGGAGGCAAAAGTGGTTAGAAAACAAAAAAGGGTTATATGGCCAAGTAATTCACACTGGTGCATTACCAGAAAGCTAGGTGGTCTCAGCCTGCAAAGAAACAGACCTTTCTCCTCATGCATTCCTGCTCATCCAACTCCACAGCAGTGTTATCAGGAGGAATTAAGAACATTAAGTGGGACCAGGGGACAGTTTGCTACTATTTATACAAGAATACATGCCAACAATGCAGCTTTGCTGTTAGCCACATACCCCAATTTTTCAACCAACATAATTTCACGAAAACTGTCAAAATAAAGTACTGTACATAGTACTGGTCTTTACATCTCCATGTTGAAGTGTTCTCGTTTTGTTTTGTTTTCTATATCTGATTGTGGAAAAGCCACACACTTGCCTCCTCAGTACATAGCATTCATTGGCCAAAGAGCAGGCAATGCAAGCAGAACTGCTCTCTCTGAGGAGTTAGTTCAACGCCCAGCTGTGAAGATCTTCAGGATCATATAGCTGGAGTTCTTGTGGGAGAATGCAAAAAGGGACCTCCATACCTTTGTGGTCTTAATGGTCCTTGTGAAATCATATACCGTATATGGGTTTGTTCTATGCCTGTGCAAACATTCCTGGAACCTTTCAGAGCCTTAAAAAAGCTGTTAGGACACATCCTCTTTACCACATATGGTCCCTGCCCTGAGACATTCCTCAGTTCCCCTTTCTACTGTTGCTAAACATACATCTTTAGAGCATTTCAGAACCTACCTTCTCATTGTTTGTCACTATTCACATAGGTTTTTTCTTATATCTCACTATTTCCCATCCTCCTATCAAAAGAATTATTTCTTAGATAGTTATGCATACAATGGAACCTCTGCTTAAGAACGTCCCTACATAAGAACGACCCAACTTAAGAACTGCTTCGTTCACTAAATTTTGCTGCTACTTGAGAACGGAGCTCCAAGATAAGAACGGGAAAAGAAACTTTCCTCCCCTTTTTTTAACCTTAGGTCATTTTAGGTTAAAAGAAAATATTCTCCACCTAGTGGTAGAGTATGGATTAACCGGCTTCGTATTAGTTCCTATGGGAACTAATGCTTCAATGTACGAACGCGCCTCTACATAAGAACAAAAAACAGCTGGAACAGATTGATCGATTTTCAATGGATTCCTATGGGAAATTTTGCTTCAATTTAAGAATGTTTCAATGTAAGAACACCATTCCAATAAGTTCTTAAGTAGAGGTTCCACTGTACTTGGAAGATTATTGGATGCAAGTCTTTCAGGCTGGGGCACATGTCTCGGTCTGCAGGTTCATGCACACTGGTCTGAAACTGAAAGTTAGTTGCACGTCAACAAGTTGGAAGTGCTCACTGTGATAAAAAGCTTTCCAAGCATTTGAAAAACTACTCAACAGCAAAGCAGTACAAGTTGCCACAAAAAACAAAAACACTATGTATTATATAAACAAGCAGAGTGGAACATATTCAATGTCCCTTTTGTATCTGACTTTTTCTGGGAGTGGTGTCTGGAGAGACATACAAACATTTACCCAGTGTCCATATGCATTGTGGGGAAGGAGTACGCTGACCCACTCAGTCAACATAAGACTTCAACCCATGAGAGGGAGCTATGCCCATATGGGTTCCTCAATATTTGTGCCCTCTGGGACCACGTGCAAGCAGGACCCATTTGCAATCCTCAGCAACAGAAAGGGCAAGTTCTTCTCACAGGTAGGCCACCTTCACAGCTCAGTGGGTTTGGATTTTTTTAATTTCCACCCATACCCCTGCTACACAAGGTCATAGTAAAGCTACATCAAGAGAGAAATGACACAATATTGATAGCCCCATGATGGTGACATCAGCCCTGGTGTGCCACCCTCAGCCAGATGGCAGTAAATATTTATGTTATTTCATTAACTCCAGACCTTCTCACTCAACACTATGACACAGTGGGTCATCCAGACCTGTTTCACTGGAAACTGACAGCCTAATAGCTTCTCTGAGCTAAAGAGAATCTTTATTGAGGGAATTAAAATGTCCACCAGATGTAACTACCATTATACATGGAAAAATAATTTCTTTCACCACATCTTTATGGAGCTCTTATCTCCCACCTAAGCTACATGCTGTCCTTCATTTTTGCGAAATCTTAAACAGCTGTACTTTCTCAACTGTATAATGTATCAAGGTTTAAAAAGGTAAAGGTTAAGGTTCCCCTTGACAATTTTTGTCCAGTCGTGTTCGACTCTAGGGGGCGGTGCTCATCCCCGTTTCCAAGCCATAGAGCCAGCGTTTTGTCTGAAGACAATCTTCCGTGGTCACATGGCCAGTGCGACTTAGACACGGAACGCTGTTACCTTCCCACCGAGGTGGTCCCTATTAATCTACTCACATTTGCATGCTTTTGAACCGCTAGGTTGGTGGGAGCTGGGACAAGCGACAGGCACTCACTCCGTCACGTGGATTCGATCTTATGACTGCTGGTCTTCTGACCCTGCAGCACAGGCTTCTGCGGTTTAGCCCACAGGTTTATCTGTCTGCAATAATGGCTCATTAACCATCAGGTTCCACAGTGTCTTGTTTCTTCAGAAACCCTCTCCTCAAAAGATTCTTAAAGGGCTGAAGAATGTCTTACTCTGATGTGAATTCCCCCATGCCCCAGTGGTATCTTATTCTGGTCTAAATTAATGAAACCCAATTTGAACCAAATAAAAACCTCTGATCTTAGGTTGCTTTCATACAAGACTCTATTCTTGGTAGCTGTCACTTTGGCACACAGAGGTAATGAGCTGGACACTCTCTGGTTTGATGCACCTTTCTTATAGTTTTTCAAGGATAAGGTGATACTGTCCCCTAACTTTTCATTCCTACTTAGGGTGGTTTCTGAGTTCCACCTGACAGCTTTTGATACTCCCAATGTTTCCCTGTCACCTCCCTCTAACCTGGAAAATTTACTCCATACCGTTGATGTATGTTGGCCGTTAGTGTTTTACATCTCTAGAACGAAGGAGCTTTGGAAAACTACCAGACTTTTGGTCCGTCATCAAGGGCCAAAGAAAAGTCATCATATTACACCTCAAAGATTGTCTAAGTGGATAATAAGCACAATTGCATTGTATTATCAACTGGCAAAGAAGGCACTCCCAAATTCACTACCAGAGCAACTGCTGCATCTATAGTGTTTCTCAGAGGAGGTCAACTCACAGACATTTGTAAAGCAGCAACCTGTTCACTGCCCTCAATGTCCATCAAGCATTACAGACTGGTTGTCCAGGCTAAGCTTGATGCTGCCTTTGGCAGAGCAATCATCACCTCTGTACTGGCATGATATCCCACCAGCTGTTAAGCTTGACAGCACCCATATGCGTGATTTCACAGTGGCCACAATGAAGAAGGCCGAGTTGCTTACCTGTAGTTATACAGTAGTTCTTCAAGTGATCATCTGTGAATTCACACAACCTATCCATCCTCCCTTCAATCTGCCACACATTTTTTTCTAGGTTAGTTGTGGACTAGGGGAACTGAGGAATGTTCTCAGGTCAGGGAGAATGCATGGTAGAGAGGGAGTGTCCTAACATTGTTTTTTAAGGCTCTGCAACATCCTGAGGATATTTGTGCATGTGTAGAATAAATCCTTATGTGTGAATTCACAGATGGCCACTTGAAGTACTATAGTTACAGGTAAGTAACCTGTCCTTTCCTTAGAAAGGAGATAAATATTCTAATACCTCAAATTAGGATATGAGTCCTGAAACCAGTCCTGAAACCACTTCTGGCTGGCTGAATATCCAATATGGAATTTTCATGTATCGATTAATAGATTTTGCTAGAAACTGAAAAAGGCTCAGAAGAAACACATAGGACTCTAGACTGCAAGAGTACTGCTACAAGAAGTTTCTGTTTGTTTGTTTGTTTTGGAGGGGGGAATTGGGAGGAAAGTACTTAAGAAATAGTAGCAGCATATCTAAGAATAGGGGAAGAATAATAAGAATTTTAGGATTGCCTTTGGCTGCTTAAAGTATGCTGAAAGTGGCTAAAAATATGAGAGGAGAAAAGGGTTGATGTTCCTTGCCCTCTTTCCATAGCTGGCTGATAGCTGGAGAACTGGAATATGGCAGTGATACTCTGTCTGTGCCCAACCACTGTAAGGGCATTTGGCATAGTGGCCAAGCACTAACAGAGGATGTGTGAAAGAAGGGCAAGCTACAGTTGACTTGTTTGAAAGCTGAATCCTGGGTTGTTCAACGAACCATGGTTAAGCAACTTGTGGCTTATTCTACATCAAAACACAGCCAATATCTCTGTTAGGTCAGAGGCCTCCTATAACCCTCACATATATTCTTCCACCTAAACCAGGAAACTCCTTCAAGACAACTATGAATCAATTGCTACTAAGCACTTCCAGCCTCATGAGCTCCCAGATGGGAAATATCCTCTACCCTGGAGTGTATACCAGCCAGGGAGTGGCTATGTCCGAGAAAAACCTCTTTCTTTTCCTCCCACGAAAACAGTAAGTATCCAGAACGAAGGATCTGATTATTATATGCATCGCTGCTTTGCTGTCAGGAGACTACTGCACATTTAATATTGCCCAGTGCCTAACAACAGAGACCGCAGCACCACTGCCTTATGAGTTGGGCCCAAATGCTGAAAAATATTAATAGAATTTAGGATGGTGTTATGTATGAAGGCAGGGGGAGATTTTGTGGTGCTTAGTTTTGACCCTTACATATATCTAAGAGACATTCATCCCTCTGCTTTTCTGTATACATCTATGATTCCAACAATTAATGCCAAAGGAGGTAAACTCAAGGGAATATGATCCAGTGAGACACTGTGAGGATTCAAGATGAATAGCATTTCAGAAAAAAAAAGGAAGTGACAGGAGGTGTCAAATTCTAGTGGGACAAGGAAGTAATGAGAATGTGCAGCACAGCTGTATACATGTTTACTTAGCTCTAGCAAATGTACCTAGCTTGATTCAAGTTATAAATCCTATCACTCGAGTGCTCTGTTTCTCCTCTTTCACTTCCTCCATTTTTATTTTCATGTCTTTTCTCTCTCTCTACTCCAAATATTCAACCAAGAGCTCATTTCCACTCGTGGGGAAATAAAGCTTCTTGTTTACAGGTCTGTGGATATAAATTTCACAGTGATATTCTCTCCTTATAGGAGGAAAGGTGACCTATGAAAAAAACAAACAATTATTACAATGGAAGGAAAAGTATTTTCAGCTTATATTCCGTTTGTTTGCTTACTTACTTATTTTTTGCACCATAGCAGATCACTACCGAAACTGGCTTTTTGAAATACTGTATCAGTTAGAATACACATTGTTATTTGATAAAATAAAATAGACTGAATACTAGTGAACAACAGAAGAGCAGTACAGCAAAGAGGATAAAATCACGACTATATTTTATATGTCACGCTTAAAAAGAGTCCCAGGGATCAGGTGCTACTGAAAGTTCATTATCACTGGGACCAGCTGGGGATCTGGATGAAGGAAGTGTGGGATATAACTAGTGCACTTACTGAAATCAAGACATCAGTAGTATTTACGCAAAATTTCATGTTCCTCCTTTATATGGTTTCAGAAACCGTTTGCAACGCACAAACCAGGGATATAAACCATCCAGTTATTTAAGTTGGAACATCAGGGGTATTCATGGAAACTTTTGTATGAAGAAAACTGATGAGGCAAATTGATTCATTTGAAGAACAGTGGAGGAGAACTCTACAGATCGCATGGAATGTCACAAAGAAGAACCTGAAGGCAGCGTGAAAAAAAGGAAGGCTTAACATGAAACTGAGAGACGCAATAAAGGAAGCCATGGCCTTCAGTTTGTAAGATCTGAGCAGGGCTGCTAAGAAGGTCATTAATTCGTAAGACTGGCATAAGTGACTCCATACCACATAGCAACAACAGCTGTTACCACTGTTGGTAACGACAAACAAACTGCTGAAAATATTTGCAAGACAAATGTTCCACTTCTTTGCTCAGGTTAAAAACCTATTACAGTAGTCTCATTTTCAGCCCAATGTGTTTTATCCTTTTGTTCACCCTCCTATTTTTTTACATTGGTCTTCTTTCCTTCTCTCTCTTCCTCCCCCCCCCCCCACACCGTGGAACTCATCCAGTGTGCACCAGGGTTAGAAAGCCATTGATCCTTCTAGTAAATTTAATGAGCATCTCCTCTGCACTCTCCTCCAGCTGACTTATAAAGATGTTGAACAAACCAAGGATACAATCCTGCACCATCCTGCTTGTCACTTCTTTCCAAGAAGAGAAGGAATGAACATTGTTTGGGGCACAGTCTGTCAACCAGCGGCATTGTCTAGCCTGCCTTTTATCAGCTTTGTCACAAGCGTACAGTGGAGGTTCTTAGCAATCAACACATTCTTTTCTAAGTGCTTATGGACTGACTGGTAAACAATCTATTCTGCTCCCTCCTACTAATGCCAAGCTGATTGGCTGGTATTTGTCCAAGATTTTCTTTCCCCATCTTTCTGAAGATGGGGACAACCTTTGCCAACCTCAAATCTTTATGGAACTCTCTTGTCCCATAAGAATTCTATAACAGTATAGATGTACGTTCTGAGATTCTACCAGGATGTTTTTGCAGAACCAGTAGGCACAGTTGTTCTAGGCCCAGAGGTGTGGATTCATTTAAATGTCCCCGGACAACTCCTTTAGCTATATTGAGCAACAGCCCTCTTGCTGCCTCCTTTGTTGCACTTGCACTAAACAGTATATGGAGGCAGAGTAAGGGCTGAGCAGTTCCATTGTCTCTCTGCTAACCATTAGCATTTCTCCATCCTTTACACACTACATTCTTCCACATCCTTGTCCTTCCTCTTGCTTTAAGTGTAACCTCTCTTGAAAGTCCAAGCGGATCATGAACTTTAGCCCTCTTGACATTCTCCCTACAGATATTGGTATCTGGAAGGCTAGTTACTCAAAGATTAGCTACTTTGCCCTTCTTCTGTTTCTTATACTGTATATGCCCCTTCTAAATCTCGGCTCATTTTAAAGCTTCTTAAGCATGCTACAGTTTCTCATCAGATTCTGTAAATCTTTTGCCTTTTACTAAAAACATAAATATCCTGTTAACAGCTATATATGAGGTGACATTGTATCCAGATTGGGGAAGGGCATTAGAACCAAGCCCTAATATTTGCCAGACTCAAGGCCTCTATAATTATAGAATTGCATTACAATCATGAGCATTAAAGCCAAGTGTGGTTAGCCTTCTCTATTGTGGGCTTTCAGAAAAACACTATAATCATGTTTTTCAGAGTGCTCACTGCAATAAGGAAGGTTAAAACCTATGTTCTATTTAAAATACATATGTTGAAATTTATATTATTCTGGTTTAGCATGAGTAGAAAAAAGAAGAAACCACCAAGACACGAGTGTATAAAACCTTGTGATTTCACTGATTGCCTCTCTGGCTTCCTGGTGTTTTAGTTAGAATTTAATAGGATTAAGGGCTCAGCCACAGAGGAGATTCTCCTCACCATCCCTAAGAAAAAAGGGTGGATATGAAATGTTCTCTTGGCATTTCTACTTTGTTTTGGCTGCCCTTTCTTCTTTTCCCCACTATAATGCTGGACTGCACCTCTGTATTTTGAGTAATCACCTTGTCCACAGAATCACAACTGAAGTTTGATTTTTCAGGTCAAGCAAGTCCATTTTGACACAGCAGAACAAGGAGCACAGGCCATGACAGGGTTGGAGCCCAAACACATCCCTGATCTCCACAAATCACTCGGAAAGAGCTCTGTTGATGTGGAAAATGCCAGACACGTGAGTCTTCTCAATGACTCTTTGGCCAAAGCCAGCCCTACCTATAGACAACGTGAGGTGACACCCATAGATAGCTTTAGATGTGCCGTTTATTATTATTTGTTTTTACTGTCAAGGGGAGGGTGGGAGGCCTCAGATGGCAAAGTGACCTGACTCACCTTGGATACCAGGCTCTTTGACTTCACTGAGGGTGATGTGAGGGTGACTCAACTTGGATACCAGGCCCTTTGACTTCACTGAGGGTGATGTGAGGGTTTGTCAGAAGCACCAATTACTGTGCTCCCTCAGATAACAAAATGACTCAGATTGGCCCTGGCCCTTTTGCCATAGCTGAAGCAGACCATGAAAAAAGGGACGCTTCTCTGCAAGCTGAAAAATAGATCAGGACTTATGGGGCCAAAGGAGGGTAATTGCTACTTATTAAAGAGGTTATGATAAGGAAATCCCAACGAAGGAAACAAATATGAATAATGTTATGGTAGGGATCAAGATTAGTTCAGCAGCAGTTAACTTTCCGCTTTAGCCTTCATCACACGACTAGTTTAAAATAACATTTAAGCATTCTCCTATTTTTTCCCCCATTTCTCTTATTTGGCAATTTCCACTTTATGCAAAATCACCAGGACTTTTGCATCAGCTATTGATTTCGGCTCCCCACTGCGCCTCCACGGAGAACAGCCAGCCTGTGTGGCCTTGGGCAAGCTGAACAGTCCCAGGGTGCCCCCTGAAGAAGGGAATGGCAAACCACTTCTGAGCATTCTCTGCCTGGAAAGCCATGAGAAACAGTTGTTATAATAGAATTTATTTGACGGCACATAGTGGTAGAAATAGTAGTTGTCATCATCATCATCAACATCTGCAATAAAAAGGAAAAAATTAAGATACTTGATCAAGTGCCTTTGTCTCTTCAACTGCATCCAGTATTCACATAAAACCTAACCTTTTAAAGAATTCTGGAGCTGAGGTCTTCTCTCTGAAGACTCACAAATGTGTCCAAAAGCAATTGCCTAAGTGGTGGGGGATCTCAGTTTTGTTTCTTTGTTTAAATGGGGTATACCCTGAGACAGCACTGCATGTTCATTTTATAAGGCCCTAGATTTCTTCAGTGCAACACACTGAATAATGAACTAAACCAAACAACCTAGATGGTTGTTAATAAATTTGCAATGGGGAGTGCCTGAAAGTCATGATGGGTATCTATTCCCGCCAATAACAGAGATTGTATGCATCATTTGCTGGGAGTACACATACTGGTATTCCTGTGCTCATTGATGGGAGGCCAACATTAGCATTTAGTTGGCTATTATGTTAACAGAATGCTGGACTACTAGAGAGGTTTTTGACCTGGTCCAAGTTGGCTTGGCTCAGCTCTTCTTGTAGCCTTTTATTCTCCTTCTTAGCCTTCAGGAAATCTCTGAATACAAGGAAGTGTCAATATGTATTTATCTATTTAAAACATTTTTGTCCCAATCTTCAGCAAAAGAGATCCCAGGTAGTCTTATAAATTAATCAGTAAAAAGAGAATAATCTGTGCCCATTGACTTCCCATTTGAATGAGTGGGCAGAAAAGGAACATGGAAGAGGAAGATAAGGAAGGCAATTCAGGCACTAACAGTTAAATAGTTGTTCCTATAACAACTAACTAGGAATAATTAAGGGAAGGGTAGAGCCTGCTGAAGCTGATTGTTTAATATGGCTGATGAAGAATGGCCCTGTTCCCCATTTCTGTTAAATATGAACCTCAAAACTAGTTTCCATTCAAAATCTGAACCAAAATTTTGCAGTTGTTTATGCAGCATTCCTTTAGTTTGGGAGTAGTTTGTTGATGATTGTAAAAGTTTGGTGTAGTTTTGGAACAAAAAGAAAAATGTTGACTTGGGAGGTGTTCAGCAGGCCCCCACACTAGGTAGGCCAGTTTCACCCACATGGAGGGTGCTGCAAAACATGGAGTTTGCATTATAAATGACTGTAAAACTCCAGCATAGATTTTGAGAGAATCCCTAATTTCAGGGTCCATAGTTAACAATGCTCTCTACCCCAAATTGTCGTATTGTGGTATTATGTGCAATCAAGTCACTTCTAACTTATGGCAACTCTAATAGAGTTTCTGAGGTGAGATGTTTAAGGAGTGGTTTACCACCACCTCCTAGTGAGTTTCCACCAGGGATGTTGGCATGTCCTGAGGCTGGAATCCCAAGTCCCAAGCCTAAATCACATATCGTTTGCCCTCCTCCACCAAGGCTTGGGACTGGGGCTTAAGGCCTCAGACTGTGCACTGCCCAGCTGATAGGTGGGTGCATGCCCAGCTCCAGTGGTTGATGTCCCTTTCCCAGCTGGCCCCTGCCTCTGTGCAGGCCCACCTATCAGCTGGGGGGCAGTGTGCTGGCAGAGGTAGCAGGCCCTTGGCTCCTGGAAGGGAAGCCAGGCCTGTTGCCTTTAAAAATGGCTGCCGCCACTAAGCACAACATCAGCTATTGATTTCGGCTCCCCACTGCGCCTCCACGGAGAACAGCCAGCCTGTGTGGCCTTGGGCAAGCTGAACAGTCCCAGGGTACCCCCTGAAGAAGGGAATGGCAAACCACTTCTGAGTATTCTCTGCCTGGAAAGCCATGAGAAACGGTTGCTATAATAGAATTTATTTGATGGCACATAGTGGTAGAAATAGTAGTTGTCATCATCTGCAATAAAAAGGAAAAAATTAAGATACTTGACCAAGTGCCTTTGGTCACAGCTAATGTTAGCTCACAAGAGTTTTATTCAGGTATTAAGCCTGAAAGCTTGCAGGGCTAAATGAGGGCTGGGGATTCAGGTGAGGCCTGCTCCCATCTCACATCCTTCCCTCTGAGAAGTCAGACTTTTACGTGTTCACCCTGTAAGCACCTTCATCTCTACATTCCCATGGGCAGGAGCTTTGATAAGGCAGCACTCTTGTTCAAGGAGTTACGGTAAGCACATTCAGCAGGACACATTTGCAAGTGCCTTTGTAGAACATGCAAAGGTGATGTCCATGTGTTGGGTGGGCGGGTGACACTTCTTGCACACCCCCATCCCCTACAACAATTATAGCTTTATAAACTTTCAGGTTTAATGCTTGAATAGGGCTTAAGGTTTCTGAAAATGCCTTTAATACAATATAAAATTATCTTCCATTCGCCATTACTTCTCTCCTAAATTTTTCTCCCTCTCCCATGATACTAGTACCTAGTACCACCCAATAAAGCTGAATGGTGGAAGATTCAAGGCTGATAAAAGGAAGTACTCCTTCACACATCACACACCACCATAAAATGTATGGCTGCTAACTTGTGTGGTTTTGAAAAGGGACTTGGAAAAACCCCTACAAGATAGGACTATTTCTGCTAGTCATCCCCTCATCATTTATTAAAATTTTTTTTGAAGAATATAAAGAGTGAAGGGGGGGTAGAGAAAGTAACAGGACTAAGCTAAGAAATGTTCCTACCTCATTTAAATCCAAAATTGCTCTTTTCCTTCTGAATATTCCTTTTCTGCTGCTCTTCCACAGCAAAGAGAAAAAGGAAGAATCTGGAACATTTGCAAGGGGTCAGGGAGAGATGTGCCCGACATGCAAAGCATTAAATTGCATAACACACTCCCTTTGGTAGTAACAAAGTTATGTCTTTGGCAAATTATGTCCAAAATGTACTTATCAGTCTTTATCTCAAGATATTCATGTTTCGGAATCAGAACAACTTAGCAAAAAGGGTTTTATGGGAAAGAGAAACACACAGTTTAAAAAACAGTTTCAGGAAATGTAGAGGTGTGGGGAAATGTGGATAACTGTTGTCTAAGTGGACAAAAGAACCGAAAGACAAGCAAACTACGCATGTATATATTCTGGCCCAGACTGATTTTTCCCTTTACAGTAAATGGCAAATAGTACTGTAATGCAATAGACAGCACCTTCTGTCTCTTCAACTGCACCCAGTATTCACATAAAACCTAACCTTTTAACCAGCTCCAGTGGTTGATGTCCCTTTCCCAGCTGGCCCCTGCCTCTGTGCAGGCCCACCTATCAGCTGGGGGGCAGTGTGCTGGCAGAGGTAGCAGGCCCTTGGCTCCTGGAAGGGAAGCCTGGCCTCCTGGCTCTGAAAATTGCCACCACCACTCTCGAGGAGAAGGTAAGAGCCCCTGCAGAGGCTTGGACTCCTTTGCATGCCCTAAACAAATTGTGTCCAGGGCAGTCAGCCCTGTGCCTCCCCGCACCCCACCCAGAATATGCCACTGTGTGCTCTAGGTCATGAATTGATTGTTCTATGAGCTGGTTTCCTCAGTCAGTGGAAGAGTGGGGAATCCATCTGCCACCATGTTGCCTTCCAGGCCTGAACAGACAACAGATAACTTTGGACCAGTGAGTATGACAATTTCAGGAGTACAAATCTTCCAAACATAAACAGAGCTATAGACAGCATGCCGGGCAGAGAAATCTTATTGGCAGGAAGAGCAGCATCTGCTTCTGAACCCATGGTCATGTCACCTTGTGCTGTACTTATAGGGGCCTCGCTACATGTCCACAGAGTATAGCTCAAAGTTCCGCTTCAACATCCCAGGACAACCAGGTAGACGGTAGTTCTTTTTCTTTTTCTGTCATGTTTTTATCCTCTCCCTCCTCTGTTACTGTATGTTATTTTCAGAAAAAGCATGTTCGACTTGTTACTACCTGACATACCAGATCCAGTTGGGATTTGGGATTTTACAAATGCTGCAGCACCTCCAAGTAGTGGTTAAAATGTGAAATCAAAGAAAAGACAACTGCTGACAAAAAATAATGCCTTGTTTGTTCTCACATCTGCAGCTTAATCTCAGAGGCATTCGGACATAGCATTGCAAAGTCAAAGTATCGTTTGGATAAGAAGGAAAGCTTCTGGTCTTTCTTGCATTATAGTTTCTAGGCACGCGATGATGATTCTGATGAATCACACATGGGCTTAAATGCAAACATGTCTGAATAAACAGTACATCCAATTGGCAGTCTTATAGGACCAGTCAGCTCTGAAATCACCAAGAGAGGGGTGCAGGTTGTGTTTATGCTGCTGCAGATCTAGTAACAGGAGTAATGTGTGGCTCCTGGCACATTTGGGATTGGACCAGGAGTCCATCACCCCTGGACATCTCTCACCCTTGCAGGTCATGCTAGAGAAAATTGTGTCCATTAGCTGCTACTCAAGGGAGACATTTGATTTTTTCATCAAGACACAGTATACGGTAACTTTCAGGCATTGGACAGTGCCTAAATACACGGTTCAAAATCAAATGCAGAATTAAATCTACATAGATCTGCATTGTGTTCTTGTGTACTTGAAACAAGACATACACGAAATAGCACATCATCACAGACAATTTGGGATATATTTTATCTTGTGTTCTTATACAATTTTTATGTCATTCTGCAGTATGCCATTCTTCCTCCTCTCAAACCCACCTCCTTCTTTGAATTTTAAATGATCCTAAATCCATATTTAGGTAGTTAAGCAATAGATTGGCCTAAATCCAGATCAGTTGATTTTTTTTAAAGTTCTACATGTCATTATTGCCACCTACAAGTATTCAAAAATAATGGCAGAGTCCTTAGAAATTTGTGTTAAAAATGTAAGTCGAACGATTTTTTTGGTTGAGGAAGACATTTTATTCTTAGGCCTGTGGGAATTGTGACATTTAAAACTTCTTCCACAGTGTAGATTCCTCATCTTGGGAAGCTAGAAATATATTTTATTTAAAAAATCGAGTTTCTTATATAACTGGGAGCTGAGATTAGAGAATACAGAACAGTGGATTTTTTTTTTTCGAAAATAGCATTGTAAGAGTTGTTAAGTACTGTAGTGCTTAGATTTCTTGGGACAGCTTGTCATGTTACATAGTATAGGTATGGATGCACAAGTCACTCTCTTGTCTGAAAATATATTCACAATGAAGTTGGCCATGAGAAACCCATGCAGCTCCCTCAGAGAACCTCTTGGTATTCTGGGTTTCTTCTTTCTTGCCCTTCAGAGACCTTCTTTCCTAGCAAAGCTGTATTGATGATCATCATTTCCATAGCATAAGAAATAGAGAGACACTTGCAAAGATATGTTTCCGTCAAGTACATCGAGACTGGAGAACTTCTAGCTTGGTGATTAAATTAAATCCTTGGAGGTTTCTCATCTGACTATTCCTCAGCCTTCATGGTGGTTGCACAAGAAGAGAAAAGCTTCTTTTCTTCCCCTGCCACCATGGACAGGCAGCAAATTACAGCATGGACCCTGATTATAATAACAATGTTCAGGTTAAAATTATGGCAGTACCTATGGTTACTAATAATAAAGGCTATACATTCTCTAGTACAGTGTTTTCCAACCTTTTTCAAGTCACAACCTCCCTTTTACAATAACCAATTAACCTGTGACCCCTGCCACATTTGCATAAAAAGCCATTTATATAGGGTAACAAAAATTATTAAAATAGTCTTTTTCAGAATATAGTCCTAACCTAACATATTAATATTATGGTAATAATACACAATTATGCTGGGGACTGTGAATTTGCCTCTCCCAGATAAAATCTGATGAGAAACAAAACGACAATGCTGTACACTTTGAGTTTAATTTACTTTTTTTGGGTGTGGAAACAACCTTCCCTTCATGCCTCCTCCCTCAAAAGCCCACTCAGTGAAGAATGCCTTCCCTTTAAGCCCAAATAAAAATCATTATGTATACCTTGTTTAATATAATATATGTGGAAATAATTTGAGCTAAAAATAACTGTGGTGGCCTTCCAGAAAACACTTTGTGATCCCCTGGTGGGGGGCGTCACAACCCCCAGGTTGGGAACCTGTGCTCTAGAATGAGAGGCAGCACCAGTTTCTGGAAATGTGAACAGGAGGATGCTACTGGGTTCAAGCCCTGCTCATAGGCTTCCCACAGACATCTGGTTGGCTACTGCAGGAAACAGCGTTCTGTACTAGGCATACCTTTGGCCTGATCAAACAGGTTTTTTTTTAATGCTCTCACACTGTGATTGGTGTTCTTCAGCTTTCATAAGCATTATTTATTTTGGACAATGCAGAGGAGGGTCGCTAGAAAAACAGGCCCATCCAATCATTCCACTATGTGGGTGTCTGCTACTCTACGACTGGCATGGGCATAATGCAGGCACTAATGACCTCATATTCTTCAGACAGCAAAGCGGAAATAATAATATCATTAGAAACAAAATTGCGGTCATAACACTGAAAGCCACAGAAACAATAACTTTGCTAAAGCTCACCAAATCATGATATTATTCATTAGAAAAAAAGACTATGTCTGGATATCAGTTGGCAGATAGTGGCATCAGAAACACATTGTTGACTTCAATGAACTTGGTCCACACCAACAGTGCACACAGGCATGCTCCCAAGAAAGACCTATGGATGCCCTTCAAAAATTCTGAATGTGTTTCTGTAGGTAAAAAAGAATGTGCAGTCTTTAGAATTATCCATGCTTGAAGCCGGAATCTTGCTGGTAAAGTAAGGGCAGTGCCCTACATACTTTGTGCCTCTTGCCTCCTTTAGAAACAACTGAGGGAGTAACAACCATTGGTTATCAACAAATTATTTTCTGGTTTGTTCTCTTACTGTGCTCGTTGCTGATGTTTATGTATGTTTTTTGTGTCCTTCGTTTATACTTGTGTTCTTTTCTCCTTCTGTATGCCCTCTCCATCTCCACTTTCTTGAAAGCCTCCCCATGCCCACCTAGGGTCAAGAGCAGGAGCCATTCTTGTAGGCTGCTACAGAAAGGATGAGATGCTAAAACAACTATTTCACCAGCCCTGCTGGAAGATTACCTGCTTCCCTTGGTTCTTCTTCCACTTCCTCTCCTTTTTCATTTGTCTTATGGTTGCTTATACTGTTAAGTCTATATATATGGATTATTTTATTTCTGTTGATTGTATGTAAGCTGTTCTAGGAGCTTGTTTTGACTGAGCAAGGGGGGGGGGAATACTTTACATACACAAATAAATAATCTCCCCATTTAGATTTCTTGCAGAAGAAAACCATTGGAGCCAAAGAAGAGACAGGATTCACTGAAGGCTGCCTCGCTAACCCCATTGTGGACAAACCAATATTTCAGGTTCTCCTAGTGGCTTCTGTATCTGCTCCTTTCCTCCCATCCCTGACCAGAGGGTTGCACAGTTAGAACCCCTGCAAAACTCAAGCCCTTGCTTTAGATGCCAATGGGAGTTTTTCTTCCAGAGCAAATACCAAATACAGTACATGGTGTGTGTTTGGGCCATTCTGATCAGGATTAGGATGAGGTAATGGAGGATTAAAGCCCTTTCCCGTAAACATTATTTGCCTAGTTAATGTTTGGCCATTTATTTTAAACCTTGCACATTCTGTCCTTCTGTAGTGAGTCCTGTTCTTGCACTCTTTTTTGGTTTGACCTGAGTGGAGCAAAAATGACCCCAGTTCTGGTTTCTTTATAGGTTTAACCCATGGGTGACTGGCATTTTCACCATAGTAGGAATGGGATTCTATGTGTTCATATACTGTATAGCAGTGGTTCTTAACCTTTTTGAAATAAATGCCCCCTTGAGCCATTGAGGAAGTTATCATCGCCCCCCTCCCCACGATGATGATATCTTATTTATTTATTTATTTATTTATTTATTTACTTACTTACTTACTTACTTACTTACTTATTTACTTATTTATTTATTTATTTATTTAAGACACTTACCATTTAATGATTTAGTTGCAAGTGAATTTTAAGACGCAAAAAGAAATATAAAAAGGGCATAAAAACAAATGCAGGAACTAAAAAAATTCAAGACAAAAAGTCTGAAAGTAAATTAAAATTGGAGAAAAATATATATTCATGTACACTGTAAAAAGGCTGCAGCCATTTTCACAGGTTTGGCTTGCTCCAGCGCCCCGCTACCGCCCCCTTCTGCTCCAACACCCCCACGCCGCCCCTTTTCGTTCTACCGCCCCCTTGAAGAATGAAATCGCCCCCTGGGGGTCATTATCGCCCACGTTAAGAACCACTGCTGTATAGTACCAATGCTTACTAGTCAGGTCAATGAAAACAGGCTTGCTGGCTCTCACAAGCCTGACATTTTGTTTCCTTTCAAGGTACCCCTTCAGCAAAATCTCTTAATCTGGTACATGTCCCATATGGTCTACTGCTGTGCCCAACCCCCACCTCCGGTGGTCTCAGTACTTGCCTTCTGTTTTGCAGGACAGTGTTCCAGCAGTCAGTATTACGAAGACAGATTATCTGCCATCTTCCTTTCCACGTGTAAGGAATCTGTTTATGACAGTGGACTAAGAGAACAGATGAAGAGGATATGTTTTGTCTTGTTATTCTTGGCCTTCTGTATTCTACTTCTGGCTGTTTATGTGTAATATACCCGCCTGTGCTGTATTCTTCTTGACAGGGCGATGAGTTTCTACCAGTCCTTTCCAAGGGCTCAGAGAGGGGTTCTGGATTTAGTCAGCAGAAGGAACTTGGCCTTGGTACTTCAGTAAGTGACATTCCCTTGTCAGCAAAATATCTCCAACCCATTTCCCTTAATATATTGCCTGTCTTTGCTTTTCTTATGCCAGTGTACCAGCCTGCCCCATGTGTCTGAAGCTCTTTCTGCCTCCATCTTGCTTCCTTCCATTTGTATTTTGTTCACCTTCATTTGCTGTGACTTACTTCTTTGCCTGCTTTCCCTTCTGTTTCTGCTTTCTACTCACCTCTTCTGCCTTTGCTGAATCTGTCTTCTCCTCCCAATGGTGTTCTAATAAATTTGAAAGTCTACATGCTCATCATGATAGTCTCTGTAACCAGCCTCCACACAAGGAGAGCCCCAAAATGCAGACTGTAGAGATGGGGGTATTTGTATATGAATACCCCCACACATCTGGACATACAAATACCCCTACTCAGCTGGATGCAATGAGGGTCTGGCCCCATGGGGCTTGACCATCCACTCACACATCCACCAGCAGTGGCTCTGCTCTCCCTTCCAATCACTCTGGAGCTCGCAGTTAGTTATTCATTCATCAGCCTGGCAGGCAGACTCGTCTTCCCTCTTTCTGCCAGGAGTGGATAGCTGACCATGAGCTCCAGAGCAATTGGAAGGGAGAGTGGAGCTGGCCACACAGTGGACACATGAGTAGACGGTCCGGCCCCAGGGGGCCAGACTGTCATTAGGTCAAGCTGTGTGAGGGTATTTGTGTATGAATACCCCCTCTCTAGCAGGCAGCTATATCAGCTAATGTCAACCAATAACTTTTGTAAAGTTAATGGTCCTAATTGCCCACTGAAGACTAGATGGCTATGAAATACTTTGCATTACAAAAGAGGTAGCTTGCAAAAATACACTGTTACTTGGAACTTTAGCTAAGCTCAGAGAGAACACAGAAGATTCATACTCATAATGCCTGCTATAATGTATAAATCTGCTACTCAAAAAGTTCCAGGACCTCAACCTGTGAGCTCAGGCTTTATTGCACCATTGCTTCCTGGCCAGAATCTGCAGAAATCTTCTCTTGTTGTGTTTGTTCCTGTCATTACCATTTGTAGGTTCAGCATTCTCTCTTTCCTCTTATCCATGCACCCTCCACTCCTGTCTCCAATTTTGATTTCTGCCATCCTAGTTGCTTCTCTTTCTGCTGTACTTCACCAACTCCCATAAGGACTCTTTCACTCACATCTTCACCCTCCACAGCTAGATCCAGCAAGTGGAGAAGTACCTGGCCCCTTGAGCCATTCTCAGTTCCAAGGTCTTCAGCAGCAACCTCGGACACAGAACAGGCTTCTAGGAAGGGAATATGTGGGTAACAAGGTATGCCTATATTAGAATCTCCTGGCCTTTCAGCATCATTACAGTTTCAAAATCCATGGGGTGTTTTGCTCTAATCATATGATAGCAAATTCTTAGTTGTGTTTTCATTGTCATTTTTCCATAGGAACCATCGGGTTTCAGCATCAATAACCACAGTTATGTTGCACCTTCATACGATCCAGATCTACCCAACAGATTCCTAACTAGCTATAACTCCAAGTGAGTTTTCTACTAGCTGATGACTCATATCAGAACAGTATCATCTCTTACAGCCATGTCTTTTTGTTAATGCATCTGTTCTCTCATTGGGTTGTGCTTTCCTTATTTGTCAGAGCTTCTGTTTGTTTCCTGGAGGGACTTTGGATGGTTGGTGGTTGGAGTACTAAGCAAAGTTCTGTGAGGCTGCCTGGGTTGCTGTTCGATGTGTACATGGTGTACATTAAAATGGGCATTTGTCCTTTACAGTAAACCTACAACGTCCGCACGGCCTTGGATATGTACCATCTAGTAAGAACTGTATATACTCCAACTTTGTTTGGAGGAGGTCAAGAGGTATTGCGTGGATTCGTGTACTAACCCATCTCTCTGCCCTATTAGGTTTTATGAAAACATTCCGAAGGGAGTAGATAGGGAAGGCTGGACACGAGGAGGGATCCAGCCTCAACAGGCAGGGGGCTTTGCTACCAACAACCATGCTACTGACTTAGGCTCTGACCCCAATGCGACAGAGACCTTGAGAACTGTCCATCCTCATGTTGGCAGGTAGCACTCCCAAATTTATTTAAGCTGCTTCTCTGCTGTTCCTTTGCCACAACAAATTCCCATTCCTTTCTCCTTTCTCCAGCTGATTTCTACTGTCCTTTTTGTAATGGATTTCCCTTTGCTGTTACAGGACAATCACAACAGTTGATCCATTTTATCGTGACTCTCCCCATGACAGACGTTTTATGGCTCTCCATCAGACGACTGTACCCAATTAAGTAAGTGGCATGGTCCATTGCTTCGCGGGAAACAAGATAGCACCAATGGTGTTTCTGTTTGATAGGCATGAAGAATCACGAGAAAGCATTGCATGTTATCCTTTGTGCCACTTAGCCAATGCCAGAGACAGGGATGGGGACTTGAGTTGTGGGATTTGCTGTCAAGTCAGACTTAAGTCGTGCCGGTCACTTGACTCAGAATTGATGATTTTTAAAAATTATTTTTTAAATGACTCGGACTCAACTCTCAACTTGGGATCCACCCACCACCTCTCTTCTTTCTGGGGGAAAAAAAGCTTGTTTTTAATAGGGACTTGTACTTGGGCCTCGGTACCAAAGACTTGGAACCAGCCAGGAATATTTCTTTTACAACCCAGGAAGTGGCCTTGTCATAGGTTAGCTGTCCTGAGAAATTACAGATAGGTCAGAGAGAGAAATGAGTAGAGCCTTCATGTGCATTTCACCCTCTTTGTTTTTCAGCATTTACCTTCTTCCTAACGTTGGTTGCTGATTTAATCTTGTTTCTTTGCCTCTTTGCAGCTTCACTTCTGAAATGGAGAGCACTGTCTTCAGTCAGTGTCCTATATGCTAAGTAAGGTGCACCAGTGATAATGTTCCATGTCACATCAACTGTATTTTATGTCAAAGACTGTACTGTTCTGAAGAAATTAAAGTGTACCTTGCTAATATATCCCGAGACATATGTACAGAGTTGAAATGGAGGTATAAAGGTTTTGGGAAGTAAGGGTAGATATTATTTTCACATTGCATCTGGGGAAGCTTTTAATTCAGAATCAGACGGATGCCATAATGATAGTACAATCCCTAGCAGGATGTGATAGAACTTAATGTAGTAAAGCTCCTGTATGTGTCTTTGGCTGTAACACATAGGTTCAAAAATCCACATGGCTGTTCAAGTATTTATGCTTTCATGAATTGTGCAATAAACACCCAGAGAGTTGGATGAGCAGTGTGGTATGTGAAGTAGTACCGTGTTTCCCCCAAAATAAGACAGGGTCTTATAATAAGTTTTACTCCAAAAATGCATTAGGGCTTATTTTCAGGGGATGTTTTATTTTTTTCATGTACAACATTTTACATTTATTCAGATACAGTCATGTCATCTTTTTCTGGTTGCTGCACAATGGTGGAAGGTGGGCTTTCACTTAACTAGGGCTTATTTCTGGGCTAGGGCTTACATTACAAGCATCCTGAAAAGTCATACTAGGGCTTACTTTCAGGTTAGGTCTTATTTTTGGGGAAGCAGGGTAGTAGGTGCTTGCAGTGCTGGAATTCCCTATATCTTTTCATTACATGGCCCATATGAAAAGCATCTAATTGCTTTGACCCTCAACAGTACAGACCATTCACACATACATACCTTAACCCCACAATGAAATGTATGGGTACAAGAACTCAGACTCCCTTCCCCTTTTCGGTTGGAAACAGACACCTTGGTGTCTCTTCTCATTCATTTGCAATGCATACCATTTTGTCTCTTCTCAGTTTCTGTCCAGTAATAATAGGTGTTGCTGTGCACTCTCTTCTTTTTTTCCATTTCTCACATTTCTCTCTGTGGATGAGTTTTCATTCCTAGTTAATGTTTCATGAGCTGGTTGCACAGGCTCCTCTGACATGGAGAAAAGAATTCTCAGTACCACACACAGCAGATTCTTGTTCAGTATAATGTTATCTGGCAACTGATCCATTTTCCACTGTGCCATGGAACATGATAATATACCTGATGTATTCAAACTGAAAAGTTCTAGCATTTTATTCAACAAATAAAGAACTTCTCTTAAGTTAGCTATTGCATAGAAGACATTTGTTGTTTAGTTACCAAAAGAGATCTGTCAGATCTGCTTTGACTTGGATTCCTGCACTGAGCCGGGGGGGGGGGGGTTGGCTTGGACTCAATGGCCTTATAGACCCCTTCCAACTCAATTAATTTATGATTCTGTGATACTTCAGGAATGGTGCAAAGCCAGCACTGTATTTTGCATCTGTATATAATTAAACAGCTCACTTAGGTATAGTTTTCAGAGAGAAAAAGAAAGCTGTAAGAAAACACTTCAATTTTTAAATGATCCTTTTTTCATCAAGACTAATACCTGGCTGTCATAGCAAATTCACAGTGTAATTTTAATATTGCTACCAAATATTTCCCTTATTTTGATAGTCTGGGCTACCATTTTACAAGCTGTTTATTATGTTTTATTTATTCAGATTCTTTCTCTCATCTGTCTTCAGAATTTTTTTTAAGTACCGTATCTAGATTGTTATTATCTGACACCACCTTTTTTCTTTTGTAAAGAAATTATGACTGGCCAACTACTTAATGATCCATTCATGTCTTTCTTTCTGATTATTGGTGTGAGAAAAGGGGCGCTGTCTCCATTCTAATTGTCAGCTTGTACATGACGACTGTTTCATTCTTAGCAGAGCCATGTAAACAAGTACCATTTCTTCCATTCTCCAAATCCTGGCATTTCCTTCAGCATTTCCTGCAGAATTGCACACACTGCCGTGCTGTTCTTTTACATATCTAATATACTGTTTGAGCCTCTTTTTCTTTCTCCCTCCCACTAAATATCTGTGTTTGTACTTCCCCAGATGGACTCGTTGCATTTTTTTGAAGATAAGCAATCCGTGATGTTATTGAGTGAGTGGGGGTTCTTGTTCCATGCTGTGTTTTTGTTTCACATGCTTGTAGCTAGATATGGAGGTGTGTCTTTCATGTTTGTTCAAGGCTGCCTTTATGTAATGAACCTGGTGGTTACCCGAAAATAAGGCCACTGTTTCGTGGTTGTTCTTACTAGCGGCAATGCGAGAACTTAAATGGTATATATGGGCATAGATCAGCCTGCATCACCAGCTGATAACTGACATTACAGATGACAAAGAAACCTGCATATAGATCTGGAAAAAAGGATCCCCATCATCTTTACCACCATCTGGAGTGAAACTAATTCTGAGTGTCACTTTTGACCATGGATATATATAAGACCAAGGGGGAGCTGGTGCCAAAATAACTCACACCATTGGGGGTATGTTGTGACTGCTTCTAGGATCAGGGTAGTCATGACATGACTGTGCTAAGTAATTTCTCTCTGCATGCAAAGATTCTAAAAGCCTGCTCTACCTGCCAGTCATGTCAATGACAAACAATTGCTCATTTCTGTGGGAGATGGACCAGGATGATGAAAGAGCATTGTTTGTCTCTACTGGGTGTGCATGTTCCATAATTGTTACCTATTTATTTATGTATGAAAGATTACTTTTCATTTTCACAGACGTCTCTGGCCAGGAACTTCTATAGTACATTGACTGCTGATTTGCTATTCACAGACACAGACTGAAAGAAAATGATGATTTTGGACTGTTTCTTCCTGGATGTATTGCATTATAGTAGTCCCATACCTTTGTACAGTATTAGCACAGCAGAGCTTTTGCAGAACATTGTAATGGTTGAGGAATTAGCTTTACTGTATTTTGTGCTTTAACATCCACTTCTGTGAGTAAACTTATGTTTTCTAATAATTACAATGTTGGGGATACATTGCCATTGAAAATGTTGTTTAAGTTAATTTTCTGCAACCAGAGGCCAACAACATACATTTCTTGACACAATTATTTGCAGATGCCTTTTCCCTAGGAAACTGGGCTGAGGGTGAAGGCCAGGTATGTTTGCATGGATGCCTTGCTGAGTTTTTTTTTCCTGGGCTTTCTTTTTGTCTCCTCACCACATGGCCTGGGGGTGGGGCCTAGGGGTGGGACTTTCCACTTTAAAAGAGCATGTCCCAGGACCCAGGACCCTTTTCCCTAGGAAGCTGGGCTGAGGGCGAAGGCCAGGGATTTTTGCATGGATGCCTTGCTGAGTTTTTTTTCCTGGGCTTTCTTTTTGTACAAGCTGTTTATTATGTTTTATTTATTCAGATTCTTTCTCTCATCTGTCTTCAGAATTTTTTTTAAGTACCGTATCTAGATTGTTATTATCTGACACCACCTTTTTTCTTTTGTAAAGAAATTATGACTGGCCAACTACTTAATGATCCATTCATGTCTTTCTTTCTGATTATTGGTGTGAGAAAAGGGGCGCTGTCTCCATTCTAATTGTCAGCTTGTACATGACGACTGTTTCATTCTTAGCAGAGCCATGTAAACAAGTACCATTTCTTCCATTCTCCAAATCCTGGCATTTCCTTCAGCATTTCCTGCAGAATTGCACACACTGCCGTGCTGTTCTTTTACATATCTAATATACTGTTTGAGCCTCTTTTTCTTTCTCCCTCCCACTAAATATCTGTGTTTGTACTTCCCCAGATGGACTCGTTGCATTTTTTTGAAGATAAGCAATCCGTGATGTTATTGAGTGAGTGGGGGTTCTTGTTCCATGCTGTGTTTTTGTTTCACATGCTTGTAGCTAGATATGGAGGTGTGTCTTTCATGTTTGTTCAAGGCTGCCTTTATGTAATGAACCTGGTGGTTACCCGAAAATAAGGCCACTGTTTTGTGGTTGTTCTTACTAGCGGCAATGTGAGAACTTAAATGGTATATATGGGCATAGATCAGTCTGCATCACCAGCTGATAACTGACATTACAGATGACAAAGAAACCTGCATATAGATCTGGAAAAAAGGATCCCCATCATCTTTACCACCATCTGGAGTGAAACTAATTCTGAGTGTCACTTTTGACCATGAATATATATAAGACCAAGGGGGAGCTGGTGCCAAAATAACTCACACCATTGGGGGTATAGTGTGACTGCTTCTAGGATCAGGGTAGTCATGACATGACTGTGGTAAGTAATTTCTCTCTGCATGCAAAGATTCTAAAAGCCTGTTCTACCTGCCAGTCTTGTCAATGACAAACAATTGCTCATTTCTGTGGGAGATGGACCAGGATGATGAAAGAGCATTGTTTGTCTCTACTGGGTGTGCATGTTCCATAATTGTTACCTATTTATTTATGTATGAAAGATTACTTTTCATTTTCACAGACGTCTCTGGCCAGGAACTTCTATAGTACATTAACTGCTGATTTGCTATTCACAGACACAGAATGAAAGAAAATGATGATTTTGGACTGTTTCTTCCTGGATGTATTGCATTATAGTAGTCCCATACCTCTGTATTAGCACAGCAGAGCTTTTGCAGAACATTGTAATGGTTGTGGAATTAGCTTTACTGTATTTTGTGCTTTAACATCCACTTCTGTTAGTAAACTTATGTTTTCTAATAATTACAATGTTGGGGATACATTGCCATTGAAAATGTTGTTTAAGTTAATTTTCTGCAACCAGAGGCCAACAACATACATTTCTTGACACAATTATTTGCAGATAGGACCTCCTATGCATTTTCTGCTGACATACTCCTTTTCCAGGCAATATAGACAAGTGGCAAACTGGTGACCCTCCAAATGTTGAAAACATCTTGACCCTCCCCCCTTAATGGTTGAAGCTGATGGGACTTTAAAATCCTCTAGCAGTTGGAGGAGGGTGGCTAGAGAGATGGACTAGGACTCTGGAGAACAAGATTTGAATGTCCACTTGGCCATGGAAACTCACTGGGGGAGTGGAACTGGTAAATCCACACCTGAATATCTCACTTAAAAGTCATAAGTCAGTTCTGAGTTGATGGCACGTAACATGTAGGCATGGCAGTAAATGAAGGCATTCGGCTTTACAATATAATATAGTCTGCAGGGTGGTGCAGCATTCAGCTTTGGTTTTACTGCTCCTCCCATGTATCCCTCACTGCTGATCCCCTCCCAAACTACAGTACTTTTAACACTGGACTGGCACCTAAGCATTATTAAACACACTCTTTTCGCCATTACTGTATGTGGTGTAGCAGTTAGTGTTGCACCTGGACTCCTAAAATCTAGATTCAGGTCACTAAGGAAGCCGAAAAACCGACCTCCCCACGTTGTGAAACAATAAAGAGCAGAAACATGGTACTGCCTCAGGTTTATTGGGATCTAACTGTAATTTTAAAATAATAATAATAGTAAAGCCATACTAGGCAAAGCAAAAAAAGCCAAGTCCTGCATCTGTTGAAAACAGCGTTGCCCATTAACGAAGTGTTTCCCACTCGGGCAGGAACCGCTCGTGGGACTCGGACTTCTGCCTCCCCTCGTGTGGAAGAAGCCCCGAAAGTGGGGGCAGAAACGGCTGTGAACGGGCAGCGGGTGCCAGGGCGGGAATCGGAGTTAGCGCGCGGCTTGGGGACGAACAAGCGACCGGACTCCTGCCCCTGAAACTGCGGGGGTCCTCCGCCCCGCCCTCCCCTCAGACTCTCCAACAGGGGCGGAAGGGCGGGGCGGGACGGGGCGGGGCCATCGGCCGGGTTTAAAATTCGTCCACTCTCCGAAGCAGCAGCAGAACCGAAGGGGGCGTGTCGGAGGAGCGAGGGGCGAAGGTAGGGGTGGGGGATCGGGCGGAGAGCGACGCGAGGGTACGGCACGCGCGCGGCTGTGGAGGGGGGGAGCCGGACGCACACCTAAACCCGCCCCGTCCGATCCGCTCGACTCTGCCATTGGGGGAACGGTGCCGCGTGGAGGTTTCCATGACGACGAGTCGCTAGGCGCCCGGCTCGTGTGTGGGAGCCGAGCTCAGACCTAGCAGGGAGCCCCTGAGCGAGAAGCCGGGTGGGCGAGGGCAGCCAGCGCCCGCCTCGATCGACTCGCGGAAGACCTTAAAGGAGGCAGGCGTCGGTGGCCCAGTCGAGCGGTCCACGGCTGTGGACCACCAGGAGCAACTCGCAGGTCTTCGCCCTTGAGGGTGACGGGAGGCTGGCGGGCACTTGATGAGGGCTGGCCGGGCTGCAATTCTGGCGCTTTGAATTGAGAGCACGCGAAGAAGCCCCTGCCCGGCCCTCGAAATCCCCAGGGAGGAGGAGGAGGCCCCTTCAAGGCCTCCAGCTGGCGCTTTGGGTCAGGGCTGACCTGAGGACACCTGAAGATCCGAACAGTCTCCTAATTCAGGGAAGCTTTTCGGGAGAGGATGAGGAGAGTTCCAGCCCTGGCTGAGAGGACCATCATCTTGAAAGCCCTGGTCCCAATCCTGTAAGCCCTGTGGGCAGGGGCTTGAAGGGGTGCCATGTCTCTTTGGAGCCCACCAAGTGGAGGTGGTGGTCTTCCTCCTGCCAACAGCCCCCCTTGGCTATGAGGATGGGCAGTGGTGGATCCTCAGGCCGGGAAGATCGGCTGTCATCAGCTGCCGAAGAGCAGCTAAGTGGTGGGGATCAGATGCTGGAGCTTTCTGGATGCTACTTAAAGAAACTGCCAATCCCAGTATGTGCCCTGAGCACCCTGCAGAAGCTTTACATCAGTGGCACAGGGATAACGGAACTGCCCGAGGAGATAGAAGGGCTGCAGGAGCTGCGTATATTGGCACTGGACTTTAATAAACTGGAGGAGGTCCCTGAGGCCTTGTGTCGTTTACCTCACCTAACCCGCCTGTATCTGGGCAGCAACCGCCTCTTTGGGCTTCCTGCAGAATTCTGCCAACTCAAGACTCTTCGTTGCTTGTGGATAGAGAGTAACTACTTGTACCACTTTCCCCAGGCGCTGCTTCAGATGCCTGGACTGCAGTCCCTACAGATGGGGGACAACCGTCTCAAAACCTTGCCTAATGGTCTGCCCCGTATGAGGGGCCTCCGCGGATTGTGGCTTTATGGGAACCGCTTTGAGGAGTTTCCAAAATCTTTGCTTCGTATGACCCAGCTTCACATCCTTGACCTTGATCGCAACAAGCTGACAGAATTTCCTGACTTGAGTCACCTGCGGAGGCTTCGACTCTTCTCCTATGACCACAATCCTGTGCAAGGCCCTCCAAATGTGGCTGATACTGTCACTGTGGTGGGTGAGGGAGCTCAGGAGTTCATGGAGGCCAGGGGAGAACGTCTCCAGGCCCTTCGGGAGCAGGAAGAGGAAGAGCAGGAAGAGAACGAATCTGAAGTTGTGCAGGCTAATACGAAAAATGACTCCTCCATGTTGGATGATGGAGAGGGCAGCTTTTCTGCCCTAGAATGCACTCCAGAGGAAACATGAAATAGAAACAACCACCAGAAAGTGGCTGCTCATAAACATCTGGTGGATAGTGACAGGCTTTTGAATGTGCATCTGCTGTACAGGGGATGAGGAGCTGGCCATCTCTATCATTGTCCTGGGAATCTTGGGCAACTGTTAACTATGGTACAGTAGTTGCTAATTCCTTGTAAAGGACAGCTGCTGTTCAGATAACCTTTGCCCCTCCCTCCCTCAATGGACTCTGAACCATCCTAACTCACATATTCATACTGAATTATGAGTAACTTTATACCTTGTAAATCCCCTTCCTTATCCCTGGGTGCAAGGAGAAGATTGGAGGCAAAGACAAATTCTTAGCTGAGTGGATAATTCCCTTGCACCAAACCTTTGAAATTGTCCCTGACTCAAGGCATGGATAAAGATCACTTCATGGTGCAGCTGAGTATAAAAATGGCATTAATGCCATGACAAACTGGTGTCCATGAGTGTTGCCTACTCAGTTTGCCAGGCATGCTACAAAGAGCCTCAACAGGAAGACAGGATAAAGCCATCTTGTTTATTTATTTTGCTCACCTTGAGTCCTGGGGGTGCTGCAGAGTCATAAATATGAATGTAAGATTTTCCTTCATGCCAGAATTTTTATCCTGTTACTGGAATTAGACTTGGAATTAATCTCTCTCCCACCTTCACCCCCTCTATTCTTCCAGCTGTCAGTATTGAGAAGAAGCTCATGGGCAACCCTTGTTTGAACACAGAGCTATCCGTCCTGGAAAGAGACTTGCCTCCGCTCTTTGTATGGTGGGAAAGGAGTGTTGTGCATTGCCCAGCTGCTTTGCAGGACTTTCTATTCCCTTAAAAGGGCACAGAAACAAAACCGATATGACCAGGGCCATTGCAGACTTGCATAGATCTCAGAAGGAAGAGTGGCAGACTCAGAAGTTCCATCTGTATTGGAGGGTAGCGGGTTCATTCTGATGAAGCGGGGCTCTCAGGCTAGATTTGTATTAAATCTCAGCAATAAAAGCATGTCAAAAGAAGCTTGAAAGAGACAGACTGGGAGTTGGGGAGGAGGGTACACTTATTCTCAGGGAGATTGCTCTAAAAGCAGGAGACCAAAGCTGTTTGGCAGGCTGGGGCTATTTTTAAAGATTGTTGTAAATGAAATTGTAAGTTATTTTTGTTATTTATAAAAAATGTAAGTTATAAATAACATGCGTTTTCTATGTTATTTATAAAAATGGTCTTTCCCCCCTCTGTTTCTGACCCAAACTCCATTCCCTTTTTGCTTCTCTCTCTCTTCCTGCTTTCTTGTTTCTGAAATCTTTTTTCCTCTCCCCTTTTGTTCTCCTCTCCTACTTCGTAAACCACTGCTTCTCTTCCTCTTTCCACACCTCTTCATCATCTGTGTTTGTTCTCCCTTGGGACTGATTCCACTGTGCTAACTTCCAGTATCTATTCAAACACTGCCAGAGTTAACATCTTGGTCTTGATGAATGTCTGAGAAATAACGAGCATTTAATATATGTCTTCTTGTGTTATTACAGTTTATTTCTGATTTGTTAACTCATTGTGACATGATATATTACATTCGTTCCTTATTTTCTTTCTTAATATCCATTCTTCCCTCACTCTCTGTGATCAGTTGTGCTGCTGCTAATAGGGCGGGGAAGAATTTCTCTCATTGTACTTATTTATTAGTTACAGTTACACCCTGCCTTTCTTTAATCAGCTCTCAGTGGGATACCGGACTCTTCTCCTTCCCAATTTATTCTTAGAACAAACCTGGGAGGTAGGTCAGATTGAGAGAGACTGTCTGGCCTAAGGCCACCCAGTGAGTTTCATGGCTAAGCAGGGTCTAGAACCTGGACTCAGTTGGAGATTCTGACTACAGCAACACACTGGCTTTTGACTGGTATGCAAAGATATTACTGCAGAGCATCAGACTGAAGCTTCCTTTATGGATTGCTTACAGACAGCTGATTGAGCCAGTATAATTTAATGCTCTTATCATCCAGCTACACGATCACCATGTTTTATTTTTTTTCCAAAGTCCCTTTCTGTAAATATGTGGTACATACCTGGGTACTTAATGTGCAGATACTACTTGGCAGCTACAGGGTGCTGTTCATAATTGAATTAGCAGCAATAGATTGTTAGAAGCTACATCCATTTTTAGCTTCACAGAATTTACTGCAGTCACTGATGCCAATAGTGTGAAAAGCTTCTGTTTGAACTCTCAAATCTCATTTTGTTGTAGCTGATTGCCAACTTGGCAAGAGCCAGGTTGATGTTACTCCATCCCAACTAGGTCAGTGTTTCTCAGACTTTGTGTTTTCTCATTAATCAGTGCAGCAGTTGAATGCTATTTTTATTGATTACCCACCTTTGGGTTCCAATATTTGACTTGGAAATGAACCCCTGTTATAGCCATCAGCCTTGCAGTGCTACATTGAACCCATCACAACAGTTGGAATCCTGTCCAAGTATCCCACAAGACTAGGTTCTCCTTCAGTATTTAGGAGATAGGTCTCATATGTGAATGAAAAGCTCTGTTACTACCTTTATTTTTATTCTCTTTTAGTACGTTCATTTTTATGATATGCAGTATTTTAGAGGACTTAGAAGACACACAAGCTGAATAATGTCGGTCTACCTCATATATATCCCTTGATGTTGAAGACAGCCCATCTTTGATAATGTTTCCCTTGCATTTGAAACACTGAAAAGGTATACACTGGAAAAATGCAAGTGAAAAAGGTGCAACAGCTTTAAAAAGTAGACATTATTTTAGCCTGGCTATTACAATGGAGGACAACTGTGTGCATTGATGGTAAAATACAGCTGAAAGAGATGGGTGAAGTCCAGACAACATCTCTGAAATCAGCACAAGTTTGTTTGTTTGTTTGTTTTACTATTCTTCAGCTTAGCTTTTAGTGTTTCTATATTTGACTGAGTTATATATTGCTTCCATATCAGGGCCCTGTAACAGTACTGAGGCACGAATTTTCTCCAGTGAAGCAACATTAAACAGTAGTTCTTTATGGCATTTAAAACAGTATTGTATTATTCAGCAATAACCCCTATGGTGTGAGAATTTTGTTATGTTTGGGCAGGAATTTTCTGTTCTGTACCTTTTGACTAGAAGACTTCTTCCTTAGGTTTCAGCCTCTGTTTACTTTCTGTTTATCATGACCCAGGCATTATTGATTATTTGTCCCTTAATTAGTCCTCCCTTTTCTTCACTGATATCTGGTGGCTGCCTTAATGGCTTGTTTCCTCTCATTAATTATCTTAAATATTGAAGAATAGTAGTACTTTTCAATTTTTTAAAAAGGGGAAATGTTATAAGTAGAGAAGTAGACTGTTCAGTTCATAAGTAATTGTTTGAGCACGCTGAGGCACAAGCCACAAGAAAAAAAACCTCTAATCAACCCATGTTAGCCCGGCTGTTCTTTAACAGTATAGTATGTAGTCTCACCCAAAGAGGGAACCAATTGTGTGTTCTGTTTTACCACCTTTTACTTATTGAAGAAAATTTTCAAAACTCATATCTGTAAACAAATAGGAAGACATTACAAAGATTACTGGAATTGAGGTGACTGACAGTGTCATAAGGATTTTTTGAAAAGTGAAAGATGGCTATTTCAGACAAAGTGTGGAAGTGACTGTAGCTGCTCTTCTAGCATGGAATAGTAAAACTGTTAAACACATTATAGATTTTTAAACCAGTCTCACCCTGTATTATTCTTGGCCAACCAAAACCAAGTGAGACAGAAATGCTTTTAACTGCTTTAAGAAAATTCTAACAAAGAATCTGATAATTCTTGAAGGCAATGATGTTACTCAGCCAAGGTGCATTTACTAAGAACACCTCTTTGTGCACGCATTCCAGTTTTAGCCTCAGATGGTAAGCATAAGAGGGTGCTTCTGGAAGGTGTGATAAAGCAGAGGAGTGTGGACTGTGTGTTAGCTATGTGGGCCACACTCAGTTTAGGGCTTTGTAAGTTGCATTGACAGTGCAATGGTATACATGTGTACTTCAAAGTAAGCTCCACTGAGTTCAGTGGGGCAGCCTTCCACAAAAGTATGGAGAAAACAGCAGACTAAATCTATATGGTCTGTAAAGAAATGTGGATTCAGTGCAGATGCTGGATTGTTGTGTTCTTTTGTTGCCTGTCATCCTTCAGAGGGTGGGTCAGTGAGATATAATCTCTCGTGTTTCCGTCTTGCTGCCAGTGCTGACCCTCATAGAACAGAACAAAAACCTTGTCTGGAAACTGTGAAGCCTAAATTATGATCTGAGTCTTAACAAACAAACAAAAACAAAACAAAGTGGGGAAAAAAAAGAAGCTATAGAGAAACTCTTAGAAACCTCCAACCTCAGTGTCTCACTTGGAGAAATGAATCCAGGAACATCCTATGACTGTGAGTGTCCAGAGGGTCCTCACCCTAAACATTGTCAGTGGTAGGTGGTATAATTCTATTGCATCACAAAGAGTTCTGTGCTTCATCACTTCTATCACATAAGTGTTTAATTTCAGCTACTTTCATCCCTCAACTAGCTTCTTAACATTTGCTAGTAAGTGTATTTTGTTCACATAGCTGTGGTTTAAGAACACACCATGCTTCCAAGAAACACTCAATGTGCTGAACTGATCTCAAATTTGAAACAGATTTAAGAGCAGCTGTTTTATCTGTGAATCAGATTTAAAGAGTAAGGTGTTTTAGAGTTTTTTCACCCGAAGAGATGTCACATTATGAATGGAGAGAGCTAAAGTTAGGAATTGGATAGTTCCACATTTTTCCCTTGCCCCACATTTCCCTTGACGACAGACAAGCCTATTCAGTGGTTGAAGTCTGATTGTGTAGTTAAGCAAACTGTGCAATTTTAAATGCAAAAATCTCCATGGACACGATAAGTTGCATACAGAGTTGTAGGATGAAGATTTCTTAACAGCAATTTGGATCCAAAGGTTACCCCATGTATATAACTGCATAGCAAGATTTCAGCCATCTGGTGCCTTAGTTCCCAAACTATAACATCAGGCTAATAATATTCTTCTGCCTTGGGGGATTGTTGCAAGGACTACAGTTATTATGGCAATATTTTGTTTATGTCCTGGTCTATGTTTCTTTTCATTTTAGTTAATAAAATTCAAGAAGCGGTTAACATACATTATAAAAACATTTGGTTAGATCAAGGCAATATTTAGTTGAATTTAAATTCCCTTGAAATCAGTGATACCATTTAGTCCTCACATAACTGATTGCTCACAGATTTCAATGTGAATTAAGTTCAGCTCACAGTCTGTATACAACCCAGTAAACTATAAATTAAAGAAATGTGTATTCGTGCTTTAAACGTTTGAAAGTGCTTTAACAATTATATATTATTTTTACTGTGTTTGAAATGAATTTCATAATCTCCTACATTACTGTGGAATTGTTCCCTTAGGAGACTGCTGTGAAGAATTCTTACTTCCATAATTCCAAATTCTCCACAAATGAACTCCAAACCTGTCATGTAGATTATGCAATTTAGCATAATTTTGATTACAAACAAAACAGTTGCTTATGTTTTATTGGCATGAGAAGCTCTCTGCCTCTGTATGAACTTGCAAGAATTGTATGCTATGATGAAGAAGACAACAATTTTTTGGATTGTAGGATGAGGCATTTTGTGTAAGGTTCATTTATAAGCTGCTTTTCAGGGTTCATTTTCACACATAGATACTTTCTTTGTGTCTAAAAATCCTAGTGCATTCCTAAGCTGTCCTGCAGACCATACAAGTCCCCAGTAGAGAAAGACATGAGTTAATTTGGACCACTCCAACGAAATTCGTTGGCACAGCACCACAGGTGCCGTGTGTTCCCTCCACCCACCCCTCAACTGGCAGACCCAGTTATGATCCATCGTGTGCTAACTGAGTCCTCCTTCTCTGGCAGATATCCAGTTCAGGAAGGAGCTCAGGCTTCCCTGCCTCCTCCAGCAGCCACCCACTCAGAGAAGGAGGTGGGATGGGGATTCTGCCTGTGCAGCCATGGAGTGGGCAGCTGCCCGGAGGAAGTGGGGAGGGGATCGCTGAGCTCCTTCCCAGACTGGACAGCCATTGGAGAAGGAGGACCTGGGTGGTGCACGATGGATTGTAAGTGGGCCAGCTGGCTGAGCGGTGGGGGGGAGGAAAGAATGAATATTGTTGGAGTGGGCTGAATTAATTCATGCCCATCTTTAGGGGCATGTTGCGGGTTATCCAATCATGGGGGCTGCTTTAATTCTATGAAAATATTAAGAAATGCAGCCATCACAGGACTCTGGATTCCCTT